TGCTATATTATCAAACCATGTAATACATTAAAAGAAAAGCAACCATTAGATTAAGATTTTAGCAAAAAGTAAAAAATAAAAAAATCCTAATATTATGAATGATGCTCTAAAATAATCATTAATATATTAATTATTATAATAGCTAATATTTTGTTCTCATATTTTAATGATATAAAAAATTTATAATATTATATTATAAAAAAATAAGTTAATTAAATTTAAATTGTTATAAAATTAAATTGGTTTATTTTAAAAAAATTTAAACTTGAATGATAAATAATTTTTATGTTTCATGAAAAATTTGGTTGCAATTATAATTAAATATTTATTAATATAAAATTATGTTTATTTTCTGAAACAAGTTATTTAATATAAATTATTTCTTCATAAAATGTCCTTTTTCTATTTTTGTTAATGCTTTTAAGATTTTTAATATATAAATATTTATAATTTATAATATATATTATTTATAATTTATTTATTCTATTATTTTAAAAACAATAAGTATATTACAATATGCAGACGCATGGTTGGAAAAAACTAATACTAATAAATACATGTGCATTAAATGTTCAAATATATTTAAAATACTAGTTTTTGTTGTTATTTTTTTTAGTGGTTTGTTTGATGTAAAATTTAACAAATCATTTTAAAAAATGGTATCGTCTAAATTCAAAAAACATTTGATCGAAAAAACTAAATTGTTTATTATTTATAATTTTATAATATATATATTTATATTTATTTATTTATTTATTTAAAAATCAATAAGTATATACAATATGCAGACGCATGTTGGAAAAAACTAATACTAATAAATACAGGTGTGCATTAAATGGTTCAATATATATTAAATACTAGTTTTATGTTGTTTATTTTTTAGGTGGTTTGTTTGATTTAAAATTTAACAAATCATTTTAAAAATGGTATCGTCTAATCAAAAACATTTGAATCGAACTAAATTGTTTATTAAAAGATTTGTCAAAAAATTGCAATTATGGTTAGTTTCTTATCTAGTAATATCTAATATTTTATTTTATGTGAATTTCATGGCAAGTTTATTTTTAATGGTTAAATATTTTTTTATCAATTATTTCTTGAGGAATATTCAATGAATGCATATAAAATAAAAGAAATTTATGTTTCTTTCTTATATAGTGAAAATTTATTATTATGTTTATTGATTTAAATACAAATATTTGTATCGCATTAAATTACAAACTGAATTTGTTGCAATTTAACATGGTTTGATTTTATCGAATAAAGAGTTTGATTTGATTTGAAAATTTTTATACCGATAGTTTTTGGTATGGTTTTCAAACCAAACCAAATCAAATTGTCTCTACCATTAGGGACATAATCATGGTTTGATTCTAAATTAAAATCAATTAAAAGCAAACTAATTAAAATCAAAACTAAACGGTGATTAATGGTTTTCAATTTGAAATCGTAAGTAAAATCGTGTACATGTGTTTTTAATTAAGATTTCTCATTTTCTAAAATAAAACTGATAGTTTTGATTTAAAATCGATACAGTTTGAAACCGTGAAAAAAATAAAAAGATTATAAAATTAACAACTATTAACAAAACCCTCAATTCATTCCAAAAAAAAAAACTAAACCCTCAATTTATTTTTTTTTCTTATAATTTTTTAAATAAGTTTAATATTTTTATTATACTATTTACTTTTATTAATATTAGTACTTTTTTTTTTTTGGATAATATTATTGAGAGATCACAATTTATTAATTTCTTAATACCATAGTAGTGAATAAGTTAAAATTTTATATTGACTACTTTACCCTTTGTTTAATTAAATGGGGATAAATGGCAATTTTGGTATCATAATTTATTTCCTGATAAAAACTTATTTTTTAGAAAATATTTTCATTAATTTTCTATTATTTGATTAAAGTATTGAAAATTAATAGAAAATTAGCTAAAAATATTAAAATTGAACATTTAAATATCAAAATAAAAAATAGATTACCAATACTAAGGTAAAAAGTCTTATCATTTATTGCAAACCCTAAAATTTATAATAAAACTCAAACAAATCTTTTTTTTTTTGTGTAACCCACCGCTATCCGGACCTTATTATCATGGACCTCCTAATCTGGTTAGGGATTTAGTCACAGTTAAGACTTTTTACCTCTTCCTGTAGGTGTATTTAGTGGGAATCGAACTCGAAAACTCTTCCCTCGTATCAAAGTCAAATAAATCTTTAATAGTCAAAAAAATAAAATTTATTTGACAAAACAAATAATTTTATAGTGATTTTTCTCTAAAAAAAGTAAATATATATAGTGATATAATAAGACAAAACATGCATAATAGGATTTTAATTCATAAATAAGATTGGGAAAAAAATCCAATTAACATTGATAATATATACTTGATTTGATTTAATATTGATAAAACATAATTTAATTTTATATCACGTTTAATAATATATATAATGAGTGTTTAAGGCCTGTCATTTATAATTATTAAATTTCTAAAAAAGTTCTAAAAATTCTAAAAATTTCTAAAAAAGACTTTAAAATGCATATAAAATTTTTAATATATAATTATTAAATTTCATAAACTTCAGCATTCGAATGAGTTTTCTATTTGTGTCAAATTTTATTATTAAGGCTCCATTTGTTTTCATAAAATAACTTGCTGGAAAATATTTTCCACAATTTTTCATTATTTGGGCGTTCAGGAAAATAAGTCAATGGAAAATATTTTTTTGGTAAAAGAAAAATTAACTCATTTTTAAGGAAAATGACTTTTTATCTTCAAAATCGTACAACATTTTCCAGATTTTGACAAACTTATTGTAACCTTATAAATCCATATTTTGTTAATTTATTAATTATCGATAGCTAACACTGCAACTCACCGTTCACTACCACCGGCCAACATCTATCACTACCACTGGCTGCCGCTTCCAGCCAAGACCTCCTGTCACCGGTGACTTTCATAATTTACCCTTTTTTTTTCACTGTTCTCGTATTTAACAATAAAATTTTTAAAATAAGAAAATTATCTTATTAATATTTTTATTTTTATGGTCTTATGAATTAAAATTTTTAATATTTTTTAACTAATTTTCAAACTGCAACCAAATAATGGAAAATAAGTCATTTGTAAAATATTTTCAAGGAAAAAATTTTCCTTAGAAAATATTTTCCAAATATAAGTTATTTTTCGGAAACAAAAAAACTCTAAAAATTAGATCTTCTTTGTCTAAAATAGTCAATGCACTTCTTTATATTGAATTGCAATTATAACATAATCTAACAAGCCAATGAAGTCATGACCTAATAGCTAAAACAAAGATCTTTTATATGTAAGTTCAAACTTAAAGAATATTGTATTTCTTACAGAATTAATAAAGAAATGTTGCAATCATTTATAAAATCAACCTACCGACTGAAGAGTTTTAAATTTTTTATAAAATTAATAAATAAACGTTACAATCAAATATAGAAAAATCAACATATTTACTTAACAACTATAAATGAAAATTAAATATAGAAAAATCAACACGCATTTGACAGCTATAAATGAAGGAATCAATTATGTCAATTACTCGTCTACAAATTTACTATAAACAACATGTTATGTTGAATTATGGATTATCATCTATGTTACTTTATCATTTTCTTGTGTTTATTATCTACAATTATATGAATTATGGATTGAGGTTCGTAGATACTGTATAAAAAATAAATTTTTAAAAAAAGTGTGTCGTTACATTGCTCTTGTTTTTTCTTTTTCAAAGGGAATTAAATTGCTCTTGTTAATGCCAAGTTTTGTATCAAAATTATAATTTTGTTTTTGAATTGATTTTGAGAAATTTTTTCAGAACAATTTTAAGGCCTATAAAACAATATTATTACAAGAATTTATTTTTAATTCATCTATAAAAATTCTTTCTTTTGTTTATAATGTCAATGGTGATACCATTTTTTTTTTTTAGCGAAATAACAATTATAAGTTTATTTTTAAGTACATAACTGCAATAAAATGCATTTATGTTTTCACTTATGGAGATTGAAATCGCTTACCACATTAAAAAAAGCCACCATGTTGGTACTTTATCTTGGTTTTTAGTTTAACTACCGCATATTTTAACTCCTCATTCATTGATTAATGATTTATTATTCAGTCTTCACCTAATTAAGACTTCCACAACGAGATTATTCATCCTTAACAGTAGTCTTCGCGTTCAGATGTTTCTGTATCTTGTCTTCTCCTTACGAATTCAATTTTTTACTCTGAAAAAAAAAAAAAAAGTAACCAGCAAAAAGAATTAATTTAAGGGAAAATAATTATTTCGTCCCTGAAGTTTATCATAATTATTAAATAGTCCCCGACATTTATATAAATATTTATAATGTCCCTGAGATTCACTTCCGTCTTATTAATTAATGGAAAAAGTGTAATTTTTGGACAAAATGACCAATTAATAAAACGAAAGACGTTATAAATATTTATATAAATATCAATGACTACTTAAATAATTATGGTAAACCTCAGAGACGAAATAATTATTTTCCCTTAATTTAATTTTACTTATAATTGATGTGTGGATTAAATTGTACATTCTCCTCTATCAAATCGGTGCCATTCTACTATTTCTTGTTCTCTACTATTTCACTACCATTTTTATTTTGCATAAATTTACTTTTACACGACAAAACTCTTGGAACTTTACTCAGTAAAATAAAGCTATAGTATTACCAAGAGCATCCCGTAAGTGTTAAAGCATTGCTGAACTCAAACGACCAAATGAGGCTGAAATAATACTGCAGGCTACACAGGAGATAGTGAAAATTCTTATAGTCAACATGACTCGAGCTCAAGATTTCTCACTCCTCACATAAGCAAAAAAACCAATCAGATTATACCTGATTAGCTTTGCCATTCTTATTTTAGTTTATTGCCATTTTTTGTGAAAAAAGAAAAACCACAATCTAAAACTAAATATAAAAACACGATTATCAAATTAAGCAGAAAAAGAAAATAGCCCTTGCATATAATGACAGTCATTAACCAGAAACAAGGCTGATTCCTAAACTTTAGCTGATACTGATATTAACAGAATTTTAAAGAATTCGAATTCAAGAACATCTAAGAGGACTACCAGTTTGTCTCTCTAATAGAGGACTAGAAAACAAAAATGGATAAGTAGCATATACAGACCCAAGTCAGAAAAGAGGTAAATAACTATTCTGCCATTTAAGTGCTTCAATCCTCTCATGTCAAGAACTACCTGAAAAATATAGAAATGAAATGTAAGGCAGAGCAACAGAGAAATCTGTGAATAGGATATCCAAAGACAGAAGAAATGGAAAAGTGTATTAACCTTTTGTACAGAACCCTCACGTCTTGTGCTAACTGGGGACTCGCCAAGAACGGATCACCACACTCTTTCAAATCAATTGTCTCCACCTCAAAATTCTGATAACCACAACGCTCGTTCCATTCAAACCACATTTTTGCAATGGCTTCCTTTCTAAAACAAGTGCTGTGATCTTCCACTTCAGGTGAATCTGCAGCAACCAGTCTATATGCGTACACTTTCTTATTCTGGCCTGGACGGAATGCACGTCCTATTGCTTGGCGAGTGACGGAAGGATTGAGATGCACATCCAATATTATGATGCGTGATGCCCCAACCAAAGAAATTCCCTCTCCACAGGCCTTAATTGATCCAAAAAAAACTTTGGCATCAGTGGAATTGTTGAAATGATCCATGGACATCTCACGATCTTCAGCCCTTGATTCACCTGAGATCACAAAGACTTCTCTTCCCACCACCCAGCCCTTCACTTTCGCAACTAGTCTCTCTAAATATTTCAATGGCGCGAGGTACTGACCGAAAACCAGTAACTTCTCTCCTGCTGACTCACACAAACTCAACATATTGAGGAAGAATTTACCTTTTACCCCATCTCTCACATCCAACTTGTCCAAAATTTCATCCATCTTACCATCAGACATTAAAGAGTTCTCACTCACAGCATTCAACTTGGGGTGCAGATAAACAGCACTGCCAACAGAACTTACCTTGAATTTCCTTGCCCACTTCTTCAGCTTCTCAACCTCCTGCTTTTGTCTTGGACTAAGGTTGAGTACTACTGTGAAATCAACAAGTCCAGGAAGCTCATCCAAGAAGTCTCCTTTATAATAGTGAAGGACGTTTCTGGTCATCTCTCGAAGATCTTGAATGATGGACACTTTTCTTTTGAAATCTTGATCTTTCTGTATGGTGTGCTCTACAAGATCATAAAAAACTGTCTCCCCTGTCTTAAGATGTTTCTTCACTCCTTGAATGTGCACTTTACTCATGATGCGCTTAACAATACCCCGGGAAGAATCCAATCTAAGAAACTTAGGGCGAACAAGATTCAATATGTTGAACACCTCCTTGACATGATTTTGGTAAAGAGTTCCAGAAAGCACAACCTTTCGAGGCGTCTGCACTTTAGCAAGAGATTGTAACATATTAGTATCCTCATTCCTTGGAGTGTGCCCTTCATCCAAAATGAGAATTGCAGGCTTCTTGAGCAATATCTCCTGACAATTAGAGGAAATCTTGCTGTTTGTATCATCACAGACGATGGAGGCAAATTGTTTGTACCCCAAGAAAAGGATACTCTTCTGCTCAACCCACTGTTTCAAGACCTCTAGTTGCTGCATCCGACTATCCGCTTTTGCGGTATAAAAATCATATAGTGGAATATCCTCAACCTGCCATATCTGGAACTCCTTTTTCCAAGTAGCCAAAATTCCTTTGGGAAGCACCACTAGAGGTCTAGCCTGTGGATATTTGGCTAGGAAACTCTGCATAAAGCTGATGATCATGAATGTCTTTCCAGATCCAGGAGCATGGGCCAAGATGCAGCCCCCAGGATTATCTGATACCAGGTTACTGCAAAGAAAATTGAAACCTTCCACTTGATGAGGTTTCATATGCTTCATATGCCTTGGATGAGGAGAGACATCAGTTACTGGCAAATCCTCTTCAGGTAATTCTACCCCAACCACATTAGAATCTTTATCCTTGGTAATCCGGTAATCAGATGCATATGTCCGTGTACTCCTTTTCTGAATTAAAAGGACAAAAACATATCATTCAAGAAGCATTACGGACAAGCACAATTAGCTAAATACTTGACATGTGCATTTGATATGATGCTCCTACTAGCACCACATGAATTGGTCAGTAGGGAAATTAAAAAAGCACAGAAGAATCATGGAGAATACATGAATTCACTGAAGTTCCACTCCAAGCCTACATTCAAAGGCAAAGATTATGGAAGAAGGAATGTCAATTTCTATAATTTCACATGTAAATAGGCTGGTAGTATATCACATATCATGTAATATTCACATCAGCTAAAACATGACAAAAAGAAAATGTGTCAGCCTAAGGATTAATATACTTAGAAACTAAGTATACATCAGCACGTAAAATTTACATAAAATGAAGGAAAAGAAAACAAGGGTTGCTCCCTGATTTACCTAGTAAGAAACTAGACATAATTCATTTTATGCCACTTAAGAAGCAGGAGGAAGGCTGCGCACATCAGCCCTCTCAAAAGCCCACAAATGTGGGATGCTTGGTGCTCTTTTTTAATTATGAAAACAGAAACTAAACATGCTTATTGATATGCTCAGTTGACAAAAAGAACTTCCTATGCAGGACTCTTTTTGTGTAAAAACTCCTCATGGTGGCAAGAAGGTCCTATGGAATCCATAAAAGTAAGATGATGGGTTAAATTGATATGCAAAATATTTGAACTTGTGCACAAAGAACAAGTGGTAGATCTTTTGGAACAACTTCCCTTTATGTGATTCTAGGTTTATCTTTTTGAACTTGTGCACAAAGAAGTGGTAGATCTTTTGAGACAACTTCCCTCTATGTGATTTTTAGGTTTATCTCTTCCTATTTAACACCCTCCATCATCAATATATCACACTACAAACTGGAGCAAATAGGACCAAACCATCTCACGTCCTTCTCTCATTTTATCACCAACTTGTACTACTTGCACCTTTTGTTGTATACGGTAATTTTTTAACACTGTCCAATCTTATATGACCACACATCCATTTTAACATCTGCATTTTAACATTCATTATATCATCTTATGAACATGTTTTGGTAGTTGGAGTCAACATTCAATCCCATATAACATCACAAGTCTCACCACCGTCCTATGACATCTGCGATTCTTGGTAGCACGAAGCCTAAATCTAAGTTTGAAATCCTACCACAAAAATTCTGTAGCCAACCCATGATTTTGATCCTTTTCATTGCGCAGTCTGTTCATGAACAGCAGGCAGCATTCACTATGGTAACAGTCAGGTCTCAAGTAGCCCAGGTAGATTAATTAACCAAAAAAAAACAAGCATAGCAAACACAAAGAATGCAGCATGAATGGCAACTACCTTAGCATGTATGCATTAGCTGGCACTTCAAATCCATTTATGTGAATCAAACTTGGAAATTTATATACTACAATCATGAGATCGATGAGAACACAAAAAGTGAGGACCTTACTTTGTTATACTGAACCTCAATTATAGTCTCAATTCTTCTCTTAATAATCCCACACACACGACAAACATCACCTAAGTCATCCTTCAAAACAAAAGAGTGATCACAATATTCTTCATCTTCTTGCATGTGTTCATCGGCTGAAGGATATTCCGCAACATCCTACAAGAAACAGCAGAAAATATTATATAAATGCAGAAAGAAAATACAAAAAAAGTATTCTTCAAACTGACAGTTCAAATTATTAATTCCAGTATGCAAAAAAGAGACATGAATTCACAAGGTCCAAAAAAGCAAATAAAGCAAAATTATTAAAAGTCATTTATGAATTTTATATTTGCATCCCTTAAGCTATGCGGTGTCCACAAATAATACTAATGCAAAACAGCTTGTGCAACATGAATTATTCAAAGAATAGAATCCATGGATTTAAGTCACCCATATGCAACTTTTAATTACTAGCAGCCAATGTATCACTTTAGCATAAGTTATTATGGTCACTTTCATCATAATCAACTAGCCATTGATATTAATTTTGTTTTAATTACATATTTATATTACTAATTACAGCTAAACCCTCTTGTTTCCTTTTCTCTTAAATAAACAAGAAAAGCCCAGAATAAAAAAAAAAAAAAGCCAATTATAAGGTAAACATCTAAACTCTTTTTCTTTTTTTCAATTTAGAAAAAGAAATCCAGAAGACCAAATATTTAAATCCAACACAAAACTTTACAAATCACGAAATCTGCATTGCAAGCATAATTCCATGAAACTAAGCATTCCATTAATGATATCAATTTAGAAAAATTTAGCATACATCTGTATATTGAAAGTAGCCTGAGCTAGACCACAGGTGCACAACCATGATGGCCAAGAAGATTTCACAGAAATTAAGTACCTTAGAACATTCCAATGCCACTGACATCTCATTCCAAATATCTCCAAGACCATCATCTTCAGGCGCAGGCTCATATTGATCATCATCATACTCCTCTGCACCAACATAAACACCTTTATCTCTCTGGATATTAGTACCAATATCTCTCTTGATATCAGCATCAACACCATAAATGGCTCTCTCTCTCTTGATATTGAGTCCAGCAGCTGAAATTACCAAATTTCCCAGACTTTTTCCTTCCACATGAGTTCTAACCTGAATATAGCAAACCAAATAGAACAAAAATGACATTGGACACATTTAGGTATGCTCTCACTACGAAAGAAAATAATTTAACGTAATTAGAACAAAAAGAAAATAAACAATAGCAGTATCTATTCATAGATCATTTGATGGCATGTGGTGCTCTCTATTCTCCCAACCCCTACCCCCAAAAAAACCCTCTTCAAGGATGCTTCATTGGTTAGATTATGGTAACTCTTTCAAAGGCAAGAGAAGAAAACCTAGCCATTTTATATGAAAAATCTCCCTAACCTCTCAGGCAATGTTAAATTGTTAAGTGGAATCCAAAGTACCCTGTATGTAATATGATATGGAGATCAACCATTTTAAAAGCAGCCACTCGATACATGTTTCTCTACATATATGACGATCACAGATTATCATCACATGCATTTTTAAAGCTCCAACTTCAAAATTGCATAAAAAGAAAAGAAATTTACCTCTATTTCCAGGCGAGATTGCCCACTGGACCTTGGCAAGACTACCTCCTGGAAGTGATATGTTGGCCTGTGATCTGCACTGTCTTCTTCATCAGAATCCAGAATCACAACAGGCCTTGTTGACGCTGGTGGTAATGCTGACGCTGCCGCTGGACGATCATTTGCAACAATGTCATCCTCCAGGACAATGACATTTTCTTGTGCTGTTGAAGAATATTCACTTGAGCTCTTTTCCCCATCTAGTAAGACTTTTGACAGCACAGGATGCTTCTTGAGGTAGGGGCTGAACACTTGAAGCTTCCGAGAAATGAGAGCTTCTATATCTTTTGTGACACTTCCATATCTACCTGAGTCTAACCTGTCAATCAAACTGGATATGGAAAATGGATCAGAGTAATCCAAAACTTTAGGAGAGGGTTTCCCTTTCTTCTCTGCAGTTCCAATGCACTTAGGTCCGGATAAGTTCACACTACTGTATTCATCTCCATCATTAGAAAGTTTTAGCCGTTTATGTCCTCTCGTATATGATTCTACTAGAAAAAAAGAAGCACCGTCACAAAATAAAAATAAAAAAAAAAAGAAAAAGAAAAGGAAAATATAATATTGTTAAACTACTACATTTTGGCACACTAAAGCACAAAGGAAGACAACAATAAAAGCAAACCAATTGATCCAAGCAACAAGAAAAACAAGATGAAGCACTTCAGACAATCATATTATGGTCAACATCTAATACGACTTAATAACCACAAGTTATACATAGAAGAAGAAATTTGAAGGTCACAGGAGCAGTGAAATAGGAACAAGGAAAACAAACCAGTACACCAAAAATATTGGGCAAAATACTAAACAAAGTAATAAAAACAAAACAAAACAAAAATGCTACATTATAGCTCACAGAGAAGAACATCACACATAAACAAATACATGCAAAATTTCAACTATCCATAAATCCATCTATCTAACTACAAAGTACAAGTTTGCCTACAAAAGACAGAGAGAGAAAGGTACCGCCAGAAGAAGTGTGATTTTGAGGCAGAGCCATCAAAGGAACCTCCATTGATAACTGAATTGAAGATCAACACCTGTAAAAAACAAAAAAAAAAACAAAAAAAAAACAAAAAGAGGCTAATCAGCTACAAAATCACAGAACCAGCAAAACAGATTCAATTTCTTAACCAGGAAATGATATGCTCATGCAGTGCATTGGTTACTAACCACTGTATCGAGCTCAACACAGTGTCAATTACTGAAACCCTAAATTCATTTGCTTGCACCTAGCGATTGTGACTAGTGAAGAGAGCCGAGACTCTTTTGCTTCAATGGAAGTCTATAACTGATCGTAAAAGAGAGCGGATTCTCTATTGCTTTAATTAAAAATTGCATTCTTTTAGAATTCTTTTCATAAGTGGAAGACGTTAATTGGATCAATAGGACAGATTGCTACGTGGACAGCTGAAAAGTCTCCAAGTGGCAATATAAACTGGTATCGGGTACAGTGAATGTTTTTGCTGCTGCGCTGTTGAGAGAAGGGAAGAGTCTCATGGGAATAATAAAAATGGACACGCGAGGAAGAAAAAATGCGGATCTGGGTCCCAGGTATGCGTCACGAGTCTTAACACTTCCGTATTTTACTTTTACAGTGTTACGGTTTTACTATTGGGTAGTCGCGCATTGCTTGGATTCTTATTTCAATGCTGTGAAATTTGATTAATTAATTATTATATAGTACTTAATAAATTAGCTTTAAACCTCTTGATATTTTCCCACTGATCGTCTATCCTTAATTTTAATTTTGGGATTGTTCATCACCAATATTAGATTTATAACACTTGAGATTTTATTATTATATTTCTAAAAAAAATACCGTTAAATCCTTGCTTTGCTTCAAACTTTTATATATCGATGATTAGTAATGTATCACGGTATATTACATAGAATTTATAAATTTTTATTATCTTTTTACTCTCTGCGTTTGTACACATAGTTAATGAAGTAATTAAATTACCTAAATTATAATATAACACTCCATGTAATAAGCTAAATTATAGCATTTTCAAAAAAAAAAAAAAGCTAAATTACGCACTCTAAATAATAAATTAGTAACCTTTTTATTTAAGTAATTAATTTGACTAAATTAATTTTTATTTCATTTATACTCATTTAACAATAACTTTTCATGTAATGTTTAACGTTTTAACCTATATCAAAATACTATATATATTATTTATAGTATTTGATGAAGTAGTATTTATATTGATATATAAAGTTTAAGAGAGCGCACTATAAAAACATTTTATTAAATGCTAGTAAAACAATTGACTAGGACAGCTAATATTTATTAAAATAATTAATTTTATCAAATAGTAATTTAATTATTCTAATTTTAAGAATTATATCTTTATTAATCTACTCTTAAAATAGTGATGCTAAATAGGTAAGTTTTATCCAAATAAATTTAGAAAGCTAAAATTTAGCTTTTATTAATAATAAACCACTTTATATTTATTTGTTGTTGAAATTACTTCAATATGCTTTGTGTTCATATCCAAATTTGGTTACTCCTTTTTCTTCTTTTGTGTTATTTTTTTATTCTAATAATTCTTAGATTTATATATTTTTTGATATATATTTGAGTTACTATTGCTCAAATATTGAAATTTTGTATTCAGATTTAGTCATTTTGACAGTTTATGAATTATTGTTGCACCATTATGGTGATTTCACATATATATTATTCTGTTATTTGGATTATGCAGAATGAAGTACAGATCTCCTCTCTAATAGAAAAAATAAATTATCTTCAAAAAAAAAAAATAAAAATAATAAATTTGAAAATGATCAAATAGACTTGTAGAAATACCATGTAGTCAAACAATGACCATAAATAGCCAATAATTGAAGCGAGTAATCAATTATCACATATGTATTACGCTATGTTAATTCGATCGAGTACTTCAAATCAAGATTATGTATTTTTTTTTTTTGAGTTTTATTATTAGATTTGCTATAAAAAAAAATATAAAAATATGCTGATTTGTATTACATATAGCAATAACTTGAGCTTAGCTTCAATTCTGAAGATAGATAGAGGATTGTCCAACATTTATTTGAAAGTATCAACAATGGAATTGTTTGCTTGTCGAACATTTGGTGTATAGGATTAATCCAAAGAAATTGAAGCTAATTTAGAAGACATACCTGAAAAAGAATACACAACGATTCTAAAGAAGGTGAGATTGATGATTATAATGCTAACTATGTTAATAATGATATTATCAATCAAGACCCTAATGATGAAGTAAAGAGTCCAAGATTTGGTATGTACTTTCCATCAATTGAAAGTTTGTTCGATTGTAATCTTAAGCATGTAAGGCTAATAGGGTTTGAAATTGCAAGAAAATGAAGTTATAGAAACAAAACAAGGATTAAGAAATATCAAATTATTACCTGCAGCAAAGATAGGAAATTATGCAGATCTAAGTTCGAATCTCCTCCTTAATACTTAAAAAAAAATATATATAGAAAATTAAGTAATGGGAATCCTCTAAAATAACAAATTGCTCTGTACAACTTAATGAAACTGAAGGGTAACAATATAGCATATAACATGTGATAAAAATTATTGGAGAATAGAACACGAGTTAGAACCCTCTGTGCTTGGGTTCGTAATCTGAAGGTTCATGTACTTTAAATATATAAAATTTAAAGTAATTACAATTAATCTAGATTTGGAACTTCATCATTAAGAACTGCCAAAGGCATAAAATTAATTGCATTATTCTTAACATTCTTACTTTAACATATAAAGAAGATCCATGGCTCCATTCATGACCAAACTAATAAAAATAAAAATTGTTGTTGAATCGATGATATTTTTTACTGTACGCTAAAAAAGAAAAATATGAACAATTTTAAAAATATTTTTATTTCCATTGGTGGGGCTATGGATAAGGTATACTCCTAAAAATTTTGATATAAGATTTCTCTTATTTACTTCATGATGTTAGCAAGATGCATATATTGAAATGGTATGCACATCTTGTTGGCTCACAGATTAGTTCTATCTATAGGCAATTCCTAAATTTTTATGAATTATCCAAGTTTGTGATTCTAAATTAAGACCAAGGTTTGTTTGCATAAATGAAATTTAATTAATGAATTTATTAGATAACTTCATTTAAATTTTTTTCATGAATTTATTAGGTTACTTTTTTTAAGTTTAGTAAAATGGGTCAAAATTAATCGAATTATATCATGTGCCTAATTTCATAACTGTGGAAGTGAAAACTATATTGGAAATGCGATTTCCCGATCCTATCAATTTTTATTAAAATATAAGATATTTAATTAATTTTATTTTTTAAACAAACAATAGAATGTAAATTTTAAAATTTACGAATTTCACGTTTCACTGGTCCAAATAATAACATCATATGATAAAAACAGAGGAACTGAACTAAGTAGTTGTTTGATTTTATCAGAACTGGGTCTGGGGTCGGAGTCGATTCTGCTTCCAAGCAATTACCTCTTCCAGTACCGTACAGCTACTGCTGTTGCTAACGCCGCCCCTTTCACAGATTCTCCACCTTCTTTAACGTCTTGTATCGACTTTCCACGCTCTCTTTTCTCACACTGTTCTCTATTTCTGTTTCTATTCTATTATTATTATTAGTATTATTATTATTATATAACTAACCATTTTAATAACAGACTTCAAATTCTTCTTCTTCACTTTTCTTTTCTCCTTCCCCTCTTTTCTTCTACCCCTAAAATGGCTTCCCTCCAGCACTCCTCTGCTATAAAGGTACTAAAACACTCTAATAAACCTTTTATTTTCTTCTCTTCATAATATTTTGTTTCTTTGGTTACTCAATTGAATGGAATTTAAGGGTTTTGTATCTTTTTTTTTTTCTTTGTGTTTTTATTTTTTAGGGCGCGAAAGTCCTTATGGTTGGTGCCGGTGGGATTGGCTGCGAGCTACTCAAGACGCTCGCTCTTTCTGGCTTTCAAGATATTCATATAGTGAGTAATTCACTTTCCCCCAATTTTTTTTTTTAAAATTTTCGTGGGTTTTTTTGGAATGGGTTTTGTTTTGGTTTTTTTAGGTTTTGAGTTTTCTGGTTGTGTTTATGCTATTTTATCTTAGGTTGAAACGACTGATTACACGGTTGTAGTTTCTTTATGTTTTGGGGTTTATTATTTAATTTTGTTCCTAAATTGGTTTCTTTGACCCTTGTGTTTTTCGCCATTACATAGGCTCTAAGGGTTTTGGTAGGAGGTATTTGTGAAAAGCTTCAAAGAATTTTCTTTAGTTACTTACTGAATTAAGAAATGTTGAAGTTTTTGGTATAAGGATTCAACAAATAGATTAAATTTAGGTTTTTTTTCAGTGGTAGTGATTTGAGTGGCGTACGTAAATATAATGAAGTGGAGATGTTAGTAGTTTAGGGCCTAGCAGTTTGAGTGAGGGTTTTGCTTAACTGATGCAGCCTTGCTAACATGTCAGATGTGGAGGTTTGATAATTTGCAGCAGCAATTAGATGTTGAGACTTGTCTGATCTGGCATCCCTTTACTGTTGTGATTGGCATGCTGTGCATGTTATCCACAGAATGCTAGGGTAACTAGTTGGTGGGAATAGTATGGTATAGCAACTAAAGGTATTTCTTGGACAGTTGCAAAGTTTGCTGCTGTAGTTTGAGGTTGTTGATGTTGGTTGTGATGTGTTAAGCAGATATAAAGCTTTGAGAGTGATGATTATGGTTTATTGTAGGGCTGTTCAGTGGCCATGGAAACAAAAAAAGAGTAATAAGTTGGTTTTGGAATTATGTAGCAAATGGACTTTTTTCGCCTTTATAACTATTGTACTACCTAGTTGAACTTAAATCTTGAATGCAGAAGGAATTTCTACTTGGATAAAGGGTGCTGGATGACAAATCTGGAATTAGGTGCTCAACTCAAAATCCAACTGCAAATCTGTCTGTTCTTGATCTGAATGTCCCAAATATAGATGAGAACCCAATGTCCCTTATTTCTGCTTGGCTAGGTCATGACCTAAAACATTTTCAAAACAATCTTTGTGATAAGAAAGCAATTGAAAACTTTGAGGATGGAGGACCAAATGATTGCTTCTTAGGAAGCTGTTATTTATCTGCAATTTATGTTTCAATTTTTGCAGCTAAGCGTCCGCCATTATATATGAAAGGTAACATTTATTGGTTCTGATCATGAATTTTTTATAAAGCAAATTAAGAAGATTTTATAAGTAAGGATGAATGATTTGCACCAAAATGCCAATTGCATTCGACATTTGCTTTCTGAGTTGCATTTTAAAAACCTTATTCTTTTGTTAAGTGATTGGTGTATTTCTTGTGTATGATGTAGATTGATATGGACACTATAGAAGTGAGCAACCTTAACAGGCAATTTTTGTTCCGGCAATCACATGTTGGGCAGTCAAAGGCTAAGGCAAGGTTTTTGTTGTCATTCTTTATTGTATGCTCATATCATCAGTTTTGAGTTGCATGTGTTATGTTATTTCTAATAAAACTTCTGACCAGGTTGCTCGGGATGCTGTGTTAAAATTTAGGCCTCACATTAGCATCACGCCATACCATGCAAATGTGAAAGATACTTTCTTCAATGTGGACTTTCTGAAGCAATTTAGTGTGGTTCTGAATGGTCTTGACAACTTGGACGCAAGGCGACATGTGAACCGACTTTGCTTGGCAGCTGAAGTTCCTTTGGTTGAAAGTGGGACTACTGGGTTCCTGGGACAGGTGATCTTTTGTTGTTTATAGTCCTTTTTTCAAGAATTCACTAAAGACAGGGTCTTTTGTATCATCTTTTCCCCCCTTATTTGATATTCCTGAAGTGGTTGTATGATTAGTAAAGAAAAAACCAATCATTAACAGGTTGTGAATTTTGAAATATTGTGTTATTAGAGGCGGCTTCCGCAGATGAAAGAATTGGTTCTGCTTGTTTCAATGTGAGGTGTCCAAATTTAATGCACTCACATACACCTTTAGATGTTTGCATTTGTAAGTAGATTGTAATAATGTTATTTGTTTGTATGTTTCTGACAAAGATTTTATATTGCTTTGCCAATTTATGGAATCAGGTCACAGTGCATGTGAAGGGGAAAACAGAGTGCTATGAGTGTCAGCCTAAACCGGCCCCAAAGACATATCCTGTCTGTACAATTACTAGTACTCCATCCAAGGTACATGGTTTTTGAGTTGTGGCTATAATGTAGTAGCTTCCCCTCCTCTTCTTTCTTTTTTTTTTTTTTTAAAATTTTTTTTTTCTTTTTCTGGTCTGCTCTCATCTTCACTTTTTTGGGTCCTACTGTTGCTGAAAGCAATTAAGATGCTCTAAACCAGCTAACAGCAGTTTCTTTAGTTGAGAGGCAATATCTCAAAACATAAAACAAGAATGGAATTATTTTTTGTGTTAAAGCATGGGGGTTTGATGGTTCAATTTAGTTGGTATAGTATAGGTATTCACTTTGGATAATTGATTTGGTTGGTTTGACCAAAGTTAAATTGGTTTAAAAAGTTGGAAAAAAAAAAATCAGCTTGCTTGGAATTAAAATATTACGATAATGTTTAAGGACTTTTCAATTTTATGCACAAAGGAACAAAACAGTTGTATTTCATTTCAAGTACATGGAAATCTACATTGTTCAATAATAATAATAATAATATAATAATAATAATTAATATAATAATAATAATAATAATAATAATTAATAATATAATAATAATATAATAATAAGGGGAAAAAATTTAAAAATCACTAGACAAAAAAGTCCCCCTTAAATTATTACATAATAATAATAATAATAATAATAAGGAAAATTTAAAAATCACTAGACAAAAAGTCCCCCTAAAATTAATTACATATAAACTAAAATGATAAATTTTACTATATTCTCATTTTGGTAAGCAAACCAAAAAGTTTGATTGGACAGTAATTTTAAAGCTGAATCAAACCATAAATGTAATAAACCATGGTTTGAGTTTGGAATTGAATTGGATTCATTCATTTGGTTGGTTTGGTTAAGTTTTGTGCGGGCCTAGTTGCATGCCTCTAGCCTACCTGTTCTTGTTTGCCAGAATTTCTTTAGACCTCCTTTAGATAGAAATTGATGTATAAATGGTGTTTACGTGTATTGTTGACTTCCATAATTTTAGAAGGTGCCTTAATTGAATGTTATCTACTCTCATTTCATTGTGGAAATTAAAATCATTCACTTGTAGGGAAATGTTTGATCTGTGAGAATTATGATGATTTTTCGTGTAATTACAAGATGATCTGCCTATTTGTTTGACTTTTGCTGTCGTCATTTAAAACTGCAGTTTGTTCACTGTATTGTTTGGGCAAAGGACCTGCTTTTCACAAAGTTATTTGGAGACAAGAATCAGGAAAATGATTTAAATGTACGGTCTAGTGATGCTTCTAACTCATCAGAACATGCAGAAGATGTATTTGAAAGAAGAAACAATGAAGATATTGAGCAATATGGAAGGAGGATATATGATCACGTGTTCGGTTATAACATTGAATTAGCTTTGTCTAATAAAGAGACATGGACCAACCGCAGGAAGCCCAAGCCGATATATATTAGGGATGTTCTTCCTGACAAACTAAGTCAACAAAATGGTAATGCTGATAAGAGTTGTGCAACTGATGATCTTTCATCAGGATCCGCCATGACATCTTTGGGCTTGAAGAATCCACAGGATGTATGGAGCCTTGCAGAAAATTCAAGAGTTTTTCTGGAGGCTTTGAAACTATTTTTTTCAAGCAGAGAAAAGGTTTGTTGATTTCATGCTTTTTTAGAAAGATTTAATTAAATATTTGCATATTTCTGGTCTTCCTAGTGAATACTTAATTATTTATTTATTTTTGTCATTTTCTTTTCCTGGCAGGAGGTTGGTAATCTTAGTTTTGACAAAGATGATCAGTTAGCGGTGGAATTTGTTACTGCTGCTGCAAATATTCGAGCTGCTTCATTTGGAATTCCTTTGCATAGCCTTTTTGAAGCTAAAGGTATTGCGGGTAATATTGTGCATGCTGTTGCAACAACTAATGCTATTGTAGCCGGTTTAATTGTAATTGAAGCTATCAAAGTGTTGGAAAAGGATGCTGACAGTTACAGGTGTGGATCAATTCTCCTTTACTCTGTGAATTTGTTTCTGTTTTTATGACTTATCTGGTGGCCTTATCCATTGCGCTTTTAAGTAACAGTTGAATATTTGTCCGAGGGATTGAAGCCGGTACTTTTACTTATTTCTTAATCTCAACTACTCAACTTAATTCAGATAAATTCCAGCCAACTTGGTGGCTGTTTTCAAACTAAGAGGACTTTTAGGTTTGAGGCTAGATATGGCTCTCTCTTGGTTTTTCTTTTTGGATGGATAGTCTGCCTGTTCTTTTACGTCTCATCTTTTGTAGAGAGGCTGGGCTGTATAAAAATCCAATCAAACTGATTGACCTGATAAACTCTAATCTAAAATAACTGTTGCTATTGAAAATGGATTGGTTGTGGTTTATCAGAAGTTAAAAATCAAATTTTCAGTTTGGGTTTGGTTTTACATGTTAGTAATCCTGTTGAAATGGATCCAAACTGATTTAGTAATGTCCAATTGAAATGCAGATTGTCATTCTTGTCTCAAATAAGGAAACATGACAAAGAGAGGACCTTAATTCCTCTTTCTCCCTGTTTCTCTTTTGCAATTCATTCCTTGCAGTCTCTGCAAAGTGAAAATTGATGCTCTAGATCTTAAACTGTGGTTGCTTGCTATTGTCCCTTCAAGTCTTTGCATTATTGCACCCTGTCAGTTTTCTCAATCTCATCCTCAAATATTTGCTGCCTCTCTCTCTCTCTCTCTCTCTCTCTCTCTCTCTCTCTCTCACATTGATGCTCTAGAAATCTTAAACTGTGGTGCTTGCTATGTTCCTTCAAGTCTTTTGCATTATGCACCCTGTCAGTTTTCTCAATCTCATCCTCAAATATTTGCGCCCTCTTCTCTTCTCTCTCTCTTCTCTCTTTCTCTCTCTCTCTCTCTCACACCAACACACACAACCAACACACACACACACACACACACAAATAGAGCACACAATGTACAGAATTTTAAGTTCAGGGGTCTCATAATAATACTCAGTAAATATCATGGGCTCTTCCTTAATCTTGTGTTGTTTGCGAAATTATTGGGTTTGGTCTCTCTCTCTCTCTCTCTCTCTCTCTCTCTCTCTCACACACACACACACACACACACACACACACACAAATAGAGCACACATGTACAGAATTTTAAGTCAGGTCTTCATATAATACTCAGTAATTATCATGCTCTTCCTTATCTTGTGTTGTTTTTGCGAAATTATTGGTTGGATATTTTCCCTTTATGACTGAGCCTAGGATGAGGAAGGATATAGTTCTAGTTAAAAAATTTAGTTTGTAGAATCTGTTCTTGCTAATCAACTAGCTATCTTTATTAATTTCTCATTGCTCTTAGTTTTTATTGGTTTTTGGGAACTGAACTGCTATTGCTCATGGATATCTCCTATCCTTTCTAGAGTTTTGAGAATTATTCAACTTTCTCATAAAACAAGATCTATATGAACATGTATGATTTGGGACATTTCAAATCATTTAATTATAAATTGTTTTAATTAGAACTTAAAGCATTGTTTAACCAAAAATTGGATAAGTATGGTCTTGCACATTATCTCTCTGGTTTTGGTTTAGCTACTGTAAATTGCTTAGTTCATGGTTTGTTTAGCATATCATGTCCAGCCCACCAAGCTGGTGAACGTGCAAACCGTCCTGCCCAATGATAACTTGCGTTCTGAATAGCTCTGACTGTTTTGCATCTTGTTTGTTATAATGTAACAATATAGTGCATTGTCCATGCAGGATGACATACTGTTTAGAACATCCATCAAAAAAGATGCTTCTTATGCCAGTGGAACCCTTTGAGCCTAACAAGTCATGCTGTGTTTGTTCTGAGGTAGATTCACACTAAATATATATGTGTCTCCGCATGTGTTATTTTTGGAATTACCTTTATATGTCTTTGAATTCAATTGTTCCCTGGTGCTTATATTCATCACGGTTAATGACAGTCACCACTGTTGCTGGAGATTAATACTCTCCAAGCGAAGTTGCGGGATTTTGTTGACAAGATAGTTAAAGCAAAGCTTGGCATGAACTCCCCGTTAATCATGCATGGGTCGACCCTTCTTTATGAAGTTGGTGATGATCTTGAAGAAGATATGGAAGCAAATTATACTGCTAATCTTGAAAAGGTATTTTAAGCACTTAAAGGCCTGATATATCAGATTGCTTTAAGTTAAATTAAAGGAGTTCGTTAATTTTTTTTATTTGAACATATCTCCTTATTCCTTAATGCCTAATCAGGTGCTATTTGAGCTTCCTTCTTCAATTACTGGTGGGACAATGCTCACGGTTGAAGATCTCCAACAGGAGTTCACATGCAATATCCATATCAAGCATAGGTCTGTTTTCTTAGTTACTTCCTTTCGTGCTCTTATCAGTATGTTTGAGAAAGGTTGTCATATATATATTAATTGTCAATGATGTGAATGCTCTCAATAGAGAAGTTTCACATTCTGCTGTTTCTTTTATTTATTTACCCCCTACTACTAATATGCTTGTCTTGGTTATTGGATGAGAATTAACTTGCACTAGACATTGTAGTAGGTGCACTTCCAATTTGCAAGTTCACAATGCTCCACTATTTTTCTTTATATGTGCCTCCTTAAATTTTCATATAACTGTTTAGACTCTTTTGTTCTTGTTTAATTTCTTGTCCCTAATGTCGAGGGCTAGGACTCCAACCCGAAAGACTAGCCTATTAGGTGCAAGTAACTCACCTGCTAATAACCCCAAGACAAGACCATCCCATTTTTCTGCCGATGTGCGACTTGTAACACTAAGGTTACTCTCTGAGGTTACATTGATTTTTTTTTGGCCCATTAGATCATATGGTATCAGGTATTTCTTTATTTCTTCAGAAAAAAGCCATAATTTTTTTTCCGTAATCAATGCAAATTAAGCACAACATGACGGTGTGTAGTAAGTTGTTGGCTCTCTGGCTCTGTATGCAGGTTAGCTTTTGTTTTTTTCTCCCCTTCCTAATTTGAAATTCAATACATTACTTGGATTCTGTCACTAAGACTTGCCAATAGTTTTTGTGGATTTAATACCTTTGTTATGGGAATAGAACTATGTTTGTATCTCTAATCTATAGGGTGGGAAACCTTATTGGTTCGTTATTGTGGTCAATTGCTTGTTGCTGTTAATACTGTTGCCGTTGCAACAATGACAATATGGCAGTGAAATATAGTTTAACTTGATTGTCTTACCATTCAAGTTGAATTCTTGAACGTGTTTGTATTTAATTTTGAGGGCAGATGGCTTTGCTAGGAAAACTGTTAAGTCTTAGTCCAGGATCAACTTTTTCTGACAGCAATGCTATTGTTGCATGCCATTTTTGTGGACTGCTAAATCTTCTTCTTTGGTTGGTGATTTTTGTTAGATGAGTCTTAGGTCAAGTTACTGACAATCGAAGCAATACTTCCTGAAACCTGTAGTGTGCAATAACACCCCTATTTGAATTTTAGATCTAATGTAATATTTTATGGTCCTGATGTGGGTTTAGCAACTAAATATTTAAAGAACACTTGATTCTCACAGGGAAGAATTTGACGAGGAGAAGGAACCTGATGGAATGGTTCTATTTGGATGGACACAAGCTCCTCTTGAGAAAAAGGAGGATAGCAAGCCAGCCGGCAATGACGTCGAAATTTCAGAAGGGACTGAGATTTCTGGGAAGAAGAGAAAACAACCAGATATGGATGTCTCAACTGTTTCTGATGAATCCAATAATCACAATAAAGTCCAAAAGCTCAATGTTGTCGACGACGAAGACGATGACCTTATCGTGCTTGATCATCGGGATATAGGCTGCAGCAAGAACAGCCTGCAATAATTTTTTGCTTCAACTTTGTTAGGTCTTCTTACATCCTAATTTTGTACAATTAGGGAGAAATGGTGATTCTTTGGTGCTTTAATCGTTAGGTTGCAAATTGTTATTGTTTTTGGTCAGGCTGATACAGTTAATTGTATCTCCATTTCCCTTCTGTGACTTACTGGTGTAGCAATGATGTGAATTCTTCCTAGCTATAGCTAAAGATAACAGTGGAATTGTAACATTTCAAGAACTAGAATCTCTTGGAGTTATTTGGAAATTCAAATCAGTGGTCAAATTGGGTGTTGATATTATTTGAAGCTACTTCAAATTTACTGTTATATTTGTATAATGGCATGTGTGGATGAATACATGAAAATATTTAAACTCATGATTAGAAGTTTTCATACGTCGTATAATATATTTATGGTAATTTTTAACGGCTTCTAGATGATATATTAATATGATAATTGATGGGAATGGCAAAAATACCCATTATATAATTACAAAATGTAAAAATTCAAAACCAAAATTTTAAGGCAAAACATGAAACATTATACAAAATATTACTTATTTTTCCCCCTCACCTTTTTTTTTATAACTATAGGAACTCCTCATGGCTAAACAAGTACAAAATCGTTTATCTTATCAAAGAACAAGGAGTATAATTAATTAATTAATTATGTAAATCTAGACACCAACATAAGGTGTTGTACGTTGGGTATTACTAGACATCCTTCGACATTGATATGGAGGAACACGCAGTTCCCTTCTTATCTCTGAATATTTCTTCCTTTTCTTGGCGTCCGGATGTTCTTTTTTCTTTAAATCTTCAACACTTTGAACATCCGCCATGCACGTAAATGATCTTGATTTTCCGGAATAGTACTTCGACAACCCTTTCCTGTTCAACATACAAGTTACTATCAACAATAATTATAATTAAGCATCTATCTCATAATCAATGAGAGTTAAAACCGGCATCCTTACTTTTCTGGAAGATTGTTTCGCAGATCGTTCATGTTGAAACTCATTGTGATTATTGAATTTTCCATTTTAGGAGAGAAATGAAAAGGTGATATTGTCTATGAATATTATTATTATTATTTTCGTAAATGAGGTTTTTATATGAGAAATACCGTTGGTAAGATATAACGGTCAAGTGATGTGAATGGTAATGGGGATAAGATAAGGGGTATTGGAGTTTCGATAAAAGTGGATTGGATAATAGCCTCTAAAGCAAAGACAATTATTTATATTTGCACTCTCTTTAATTAATCAATCAATAATTTCCACAACCTCATCTATACTCTCTCATGGCCCACATGCATTGCCCCTTTTTTAGGCATATCTCACTTTTTTCCCCCCATTGCTTTAATTTTCTTTTCTTTATCTTTTATGTTTTAATTTTTAATATCAACTTTAATTATTCAATTTCCTTCAAAAAAAAAAAACTTTAATTATTCAATTCAAGTTAATTTATAAATATGAACATTTTATCAAATCAATTAAGTTGAACCAAATTAATGTTCACTCTGACCAATTAATTTTTTATATAAATTAAATTGAACCTAATTGTACAGTTTACGAGATTAAATTGAATTGAATTAATTATTTTTTAGTAAATTTCTATTTTTTATTTGTTTAACAGAAATTAAACCAAACAAAAAAAAGGTTTGATCCTTTCTTTTTAAAAAGTCTGAATGGATGCATGGGAAATATTATGAAAATATCGAATTAAAAAAAAATTAAAGCAATAGATCCAATAACTCCCACAATAATGATATATTTACAACCTTTCAAATGTTAATATTTTATAGAAAATGATTCCTGATTTCATGCAAAATTCTTTTATAATTACTTCAATAATACTAATTTTCTATTATGAAATTTTAAAATATTACCTTAATGAAATATACTCACTCCGTTCTATTTTGTTTGCATGATTTGACAAAATACTCATATTAAGAATTTAGTCAATAAAAATTATTTTACCATTTTTTACCTTAACTCATTAAGATATTAATAAAAGTTATAATGAAAAAAATAATTGTTTACATATTCAAATTTAGAAACCTTGTAAACATTTTGGACATCCAAAAAAGAAATAACAAGCAAACAAAATGGATAAAGAGAGTATTTCTTTACTAACTGCATGTAATTTGATTGGTATTCTCACTCTTTTATAAGAGTGGAAGTAGAGATAAATCTCAATTTAAACTCTTTTCTATGACAGTTTTACTAATTTAATAAAAAATATTATCTAGTCTACCATGTTATTTAACCCTCATAATAGAGTTTTTCAAAAAAAAAAAAAAAAAAAAAAACAAACAAAAATGGATAAAAGAGTAGTATTCTTATAACTGCATGTAATTGATGGTATTCCACTCGTTTATAAGAGTGGAAGTAGAGATAAATCTCAATTTAACTCCTTTTCTTATGACAGTTTTACTAATTTAATAAAAAATTATTATCTAGTCTTACCCATGTTATTTAACCCTCATTAATGAGAGTTTTTCAAAAAAAAAAAAAAAAAAAAAAAAAAAAAAAAAACCCTCATAATTAGAGAGGTGTTAAACACTTAAGATCCTAAAAAAATATGCTCCTCATGCTTTAATTATTAGAAAAATAAAAAATGTTTATAGATAAAAGCATAATCCCTAAATTCTATAGACTTGCTACTTTACTTAAGAATTCAAAATCCTGGTAACCCTAAAATTTCCGATAGCAATATCCAAAAGAAAATAATTATTTCCGCTAACTCTATCTTACAAATTATATATAAGGATGCATTAAGCACTTGCACTTCTGATTTTTTTTTTTTTTTTTTTTTTTTTGAATTTTTTTTTTTTTTTTTTTTTTTGAAAAATTTTGAAATTCATAGACTATGGATGTAAACTTTTAGTGTACTCTTTAATGACTACCGTTTAAAATTACTAACATTAAGTTTTAAATTAATCACTACTCTTTAATTTACTACACAGAGCAACCACCTTTTAAATTAAATTAAATTGCATTTTAGTTCTTAAAAATTTTAAATTACTTTTAATTCCTAAATATTTAATTTATTTTAGCTCTTCAACAATCAACATCTCTCAAAAACTTAAAACTGCTCTATGGATCAAAAATACTAAGTTCGAAATTATAGGGTGGGTGGAGCTAGACATCAAAATTTGGGGGACAGAAAATTTTTAAAAATTTTCCAGAGTTTGGACACAGCTCCTCTTATGAGACAAATACTAGATCAAACAAATTGGAAAATGTTTTTTTTTTTTTTTTTGATTTTTTTTCCTATGTGAGGTATTCATAGCCCGCAGTGTTATTTCGGTCCATTATGCTTCCAATGAATTAAAAAAGAAAAACAAATGAATGATAAAATTGCAATTAGAGTCCAAATATCTTTTGGTTGCTAATTCACATTCTGTTTGCTGCTATGATATATATGTAATTACAAATGATAACTGATGCTGCAACTGTTAATATAAATGCTGCCATATAAATAATTAATACAAATCTCTATAGCTAATTAGCTATGGAATCATAAGCCAAAAATAAAAATTAAATAAACAGGAGAGAGTTTGGATACTAAATACACCATCATCATCATCATCTTATATAAGAAGTATGTATGTGAGCAATCCTAGCCCCTTAAAAGACCTCTGCAAATGACTGAAGTAACAACAAGAAAAGCTACTGTGAGATTCTTGAACTTTATGTACTGATTTAAACAGCCCTTGTTCAAATTTACAATTTCTTTTTATCTGCCATTAAGATCTGAAAATTGAGCAAACATTGCAGTTCCTGAATGGTCATCAATGGCATGAACTTGGGCAGGGTTTCTATTCTCTTCAGGAACCGAAGCCAGTCGGTTATCAGTGGCAGGAACTACAGGAGGAGTAGGAGCTATAGGAGGAGTTGCAGCAGCAGCAGCAGGAGTAGCAGAACCAGGTGATAATATTTGTTCTTCCTCGGGTTTCCCTTGCGTAAAGGCTTCTTGAAGCTGTAATGCATACTCTAAGTTCCATAAGACATCTCCCATAGAAGGTCTATCGACACCATGATCAGCTAAGCACTTTTCTGCAGCCTCTGCAAATTTTTTCATTGATTCAGGATTTATGGTGCCTACAAGAAGAGGATCGATGATATTTTCGAGCGATCCTTTTCTTTTCCATTGCATAGCCCATTCAGCTAAGTTAACTTGCTCTCTTGGAAGCTGTGGATTAATTGCAGGCCTTGCACACAACACCTCCAGTAACACCACCCCAAAAGAATACACATCAGATTTATCTGTTAATTGCTGTCTCCTGAAGTACTCAGGATCTAAGTACCCGAAACTTCCTTTCACTGCAGTACTCACATGGCCTTGACCCATTGGTGCATCTTTGGATAGACCAAAATCTGCAACTTTGGCAACAAAAGCTTCATCCAGTAGAATATTTGTAGTCTTCACATCGCGGTGAATGATTCCTTGTGCAGTACCAGTATGCAAGTAATGAAGTCCGCGAGCAGCTCCAATGGAGATCTCTAGCCTTTGCTTCCATGTCAATGGAGGTAAGTTCTTGCCATATAAATGGTCTCTAAAAGGCCCGTTTGACATGTACTCATAAACTAAGATCATTTCATCATTTTCATCACAGTAGCCAATCAAGGAAACCAAATGCCTATGCCTCAGCTTAGATAGCATCTGAATTTCTGTTTGAAATTCTGTAATTCCTTGTTCAGATTGTGGGTTTCCTCTCTTAACAGCAACTTTAGTACCTTCATCAATTTCGCCAAGATAGACATTGCCAAAACCACCAACACCAATAATTGCACTCTGGTCGAAATTACATGTAGCATCTTGTAACTCCGATAAAGAGAAGTACCGGCCTAGGCCAAGAGTTGATGAATAAAAGTTAGTTTTATGAGAACCCATTGAGTTCTTGCTTGCCATGAAACTAGAATCACCGGCATGAATGGGAAGCAACCAAGAAGAAAAGCTATTCTTCTTCTGCCAATCTTGAGGTCTTTTATGCCATTTAATCACCATAGCACCAAGACCAACAAAAGCACCAAACATCATTGCAAAACCAACAGCTGCGACCGTGCTGCGAGTCGCACTAGCCACTCTACCATCAGTACCAAACTCTCCGTCTAAGCTATCAACTGAGTTGCTCATCTTCAACACCTCTAACCCATTCAATATAGCATTTATAGTACCAGTGTCCTCGCCCATTGGTCCCACTTGAACAGTAAGTCCACTGGTCATCAAGGTACTATTCACCACAATGTCTTTATAATATGGAGATGCTAATTGTTTGGTGATGGAAGATAAGTCCAAACCAGAAATTGCCATTTTTCCATTAACATACACATTAAAGTAAAGGTCATTAAGGGATTTACTCACAATGTCACAAAAATGCAGCCTAAGCAAGTAACTAAAAGCTACATCGACATCAAATTTCCAAGTTATATTGAAATTCGCCTGTACTGTTTCTGAGTCAGCCATCTCTCGAGCAGACGCGTAAACTGTTGGTGGTGCAATTAAAGGGGAGATTCCTGTACCGTATTTGATTGAGCTAGTTGGGATATTTGTACTCCGAGCAAAGGAAGGATCCTTAAGGAATTTCTCATCTTTCTCCCAACTCCTTCCAAGGGTATCATTTACAGAAGTAAGCAAAGGTCCTCCTACATTAAGCCTATAAACAACTTGGTAGCCGAAACTGCTTAAGCCTGAAAAGGGCGAAACAGGAAAAAGCGCAGAACCTTCATCAGGGACCATAACATCTGGAGCTGAAACCACCTCAATGGCATTGATGAAAGCGGCAGAATTCTTCATAGGTTCGAAGTGGAGAGAAAACTTGGGATCGGTCACATTAATAAGATACTCCTTATGGAATGGTTTAGTTTGATTCTCTAAATTAAAGTTATGCAGAAGAACATACTTGTCAGTAGACACGGAAAATGTTGCAGTCCGAAGATCAAACTGTGAGTTAGTGAATGGATAAAAATGAAGGCGAACCCAATGCCAGCCCGGGCTCTTCATAGTAAAGGAATAAGTAGCTTCTTGAACAAAAATCCTGGCATGGAGATATATAGGAGAAGGAACATCTCCAGAAGAGGCAGAAACTAAGATGTTTTCTTCAGTTTGCAACAAACTTTGAGCTTCGTGATCGGTCTTAAACACTCTTCCATCAGGAATTGCAGATAAACTCTTAGAACCACAACTGATGAGGAATTCATCAGCTGGCTCAAACTTACTGACTTCTGCAAAGGCAGTATCAGGGCTTGAAATGAAGGGAGAGAGGAAGATCAGAACCAGGAGGATAGCCATCGAGGAAGAAGACGACAATGAGGAAGATAGAAAAGGATTGATGGAATTTAACAGTTTGTTTTCTATCTCCATCCCTCCTGGGCGAGGGTGGATGATATGTCAGAAGAAAATCAAAATAAAAAATAATAAAAAAAATAAAAGAGAAAAATGGGATTTTCTTGAGAGATTTCTTTTTAATTTTCTTTACCTATTTTTTTTTGTTTTCTTGATTATTAAGTGGAGGAAAGGAATTGACAGCTGAGATGACTTTGGTTTTGCCTGATAACAAGCCATTGTTTAAGGTTCTTCTCAAAGTTAGTTAGTTTTGGCGCCTTTTTTTAGTTTGCTAATAACAGAATAGTGGACATAAATGCTTAACCCTTAGAAAAGGTCAAATACAATTCCTACCTCTCTTTCTCTCTACCTAACTTATTTATTTATCTATCTTCCTATACAAATTTTAAATTTGAAAAAAAAAAAAAAACAAATTAAATTGTAGGTTTTTCAATGAAGATAAAATTAAATGCATGTATTATTATTAGAATTTCACTAATTATAAGCTCAAAATAATTGTAAATAATTACTTAATTAACATTCTTTAATTATATAATAAACTTGAAGAAATTAAAATATCTTATACTATAATGGTATAAACATTAAAGTGTAAAACGCTTCTAATAATTAGAGAGGGTAAATTTTCTTAATGAATGATTAGAGTTATTTAAAGGTTTTAATTTTAACTTAGGAACCAAAGTTAACAGCAATAATAATTCTGCAATCATATAACAAATCCTGATCAATCTGTTTTTGATTTTAGAATGTCTTTGCCAAATATATAAATAAAAAAACATATATCAATAATTTATTGGATAGGCTCAAGGTCCCAAACGGTAATTCTAATTACAATCACAACATTAGAAACATCATTCTACAAGTAATAAATCAAAATTTAATTATACAACAGCTTGGAAAAAGAAACACTAAACTAAAGTACAATCAAATCCAGTATTGGTAGCCCAACCTCAGACTTCCATGAATGAGAAATATATCAGCAAAAACACTCTGCTTTCTTTAAGCAAAGGAGAGGGATTACAAAGACTCTGGACTTGTAGAAGGTCTTATTCTTGAGGGCATTTGCATATTGTCACCTCCAAATCTGTAATTTAATCCATTCTTAGGTGTAATGGACATTTTGTTCATTGCACAGTCAAATTCATCCAGATCAAGATCCTCATCGAAACTCCGTCCCATTCCTTCTTCCATTAAACTCTCCCCGTTCATGGTGTCAAACTCATCAGCAATGTCTTCATCACTGCTATCTTCCTGGTCACTACCGTAAGTAGTTCGCACATGCTTCCAGTATACAAAGTTTGGCCGGATGAAGTTTCTACCAAAAAAAGAGAAGGTATCATCAGAAAAATCAACAGCATCGTTCTGAACTTAAGATCTATAGCATCACGAAAATAGCTCTTTGAACCACTGCTTATTTTACTTGTCAAAATGACAGGACCTAACACATTAATTCTTCAGGTATCAGAAATATAATTAAAAACATGACTGCTTGATTATGCATGAAGTAATCAATGCCACAAAATGCTAGAACGCACAACCATTTTAACTCCATACATCATCACTTGCTTTTACCTGACAAAAATGTAAGTTGTTTACACAAGTTTTATCCAATTAAAACAACAAACTTCTCCAAAGGACTATTTGGAAACCACCACTACTGAAAAAAGTAACTACCATTCCCTTCAAGCAGTCTAAAAAGTATCTTTGTGGGGAACAAGTTTCAAACAGGCAACTGTAGACACATGAGAATCAAATCTATAAAGTTTATCACAAAGCAAAGAATACACACCTATCACATGTTTTTAGTAGACATGGGTCAAATGGAAAGAACATGTCCAGTCTCTCAAGCCCCCCAAACTCCCTGGAAAATTCAGATTCCAGCAAATCTTCAGAAATGAATGTTTCAGGCGTGGTGAACAAATGAGCAGCTTTTGCCTGTTTGAGAAACTCTTCTACTATAGATGGCAGGCAAACCTGTTGATAAATGAAAACCAAAGAGAAGCACTATAAATTATGAGATATTTGACGCAGAAAAGACTGAATAAGAAAACCAAACAATCACTGCAAAGAGCAATAAAGTCAGTCAAAAAGTTCCAGGGTTTCTGGACAAGTCTTTTTTCTTTCCATTTTCAATTTTGTTTTTCCCCTCTATTTTCTATTTTAAATTGAGAAAACCAAAAGATTTCCCACCTTCAAAGGGTCTAATTTATGTTTCAAGATGAGCTCCATAGGTTTGAGGAGAAGATGTGATTTGAGCCCAGGAACATCCATTATCGACCTCATACGGAAGCAAAGCACATACATGATGGCCTGTGGAACAAAATTAACCATCAAGAAACATGTATTTGCAACTATGCCGGAATTTTGAAGTGTATAATCACATGATAAATTAAGAACCTCCAACTAGTGTAATTTTGTGCTTATAAATCATATAATTTTAATTGATTTAACAAGACAGTAAAAGACCATCTAATCCAGTCCGACCAGTAAAAGTTTATTGTCAAAGCTTGAGTACCTGACATCCAGAATAGAAAACTCGATGTGCTTTTGGATTCATGTGACCATCTTGGGTTTTACAGTATTCCAAACACCAATCCACCAGCCTGAAAAACCATGCAATAATATCATCCACGTCAAAGATGTTCATCATCAATTTTCCATTCCCACATTACTACGCGCAACTAAACTAACGCCAGGTTGTAAATTGATATTATTGATAAAATCACAAAGCTAGATATGCATCAGAACCTCTTCAACGTGTTAGCAACAAAAGCAGAAGACAGGAACTTTGCACGAGCCAAATAACTAGCAAGATAAGCCACAGAACTCATCCTGCAAACAATAGGTAAAGGAATTAATTTAGAAGATATCTTTAGACATAATATCCTAATTAAACAGCTTTGAACCTTCAAGGAACAGAGAAGACATGAAGAACCTGGTAACTTAAAATAAAATGTAAACATAGTCTATTATGAAGGAAGTCACCCTATCTTTCAATTCATCAGCAAAGGTACTTTATCCATGAACTAAGGGAAGAGAAAAGGTTATCAAATTTTTGAAAAGAAAAATAGCAATTTCAAGTCACTCTGTTTTGAAATACAAAGGAGACAAAAAAAGAAAATATATCAATCAAGAATTAAGTTTGCTGTCTCTTTGACATGTCAGTACAATAGGAAAATATCACATAATGACACTTTAACTGAGGGAATTGCTATATTTAAATTCTTAAAATCATGGAGGAAATCCTAACAGATCAAATAATTACAATTTTTAATATTTAAAGCTAAATTACCTGGTAAGTGGGTTGTCACCGTAAACAAACCTATCCGCAAGCGTTCTGGCAAATTTCAAGCCACAGTTTTCAGGATCTAGTGAACAGGCATAGAACAAGACAAACTGCAAAAAGAAAAAAGAAGGGAAATATACATCTTGCTGGAAAGGCAAATTCAAAGTACCCCAGTAATACCCTTTAACTGCTACTAGAAAATATAAGCCAGCTTCTTAGTTTCATAGTTCTCATGATAGGACAGGACCATGCAACTAATATTCTTGTTTACCAAAACAAATTCCTAATTCTGAAGTTGCTCGACTTCTTTATTTCTGTAAAAACAAATTTTAGACATAAAGCAATCAAATGACCCTCACATCTCCAAACTTCAATCTCCTTCAAACTGAACACTTGATCAGAAACATACTCGACCACATTTTTCTTTCTTTCTACATCCTTGTTTCAGAATTATAATTAGCAAACTTAAAAGAGAAAAATACTAATTAGATTACAGAGACATCCTAGCAAATGTAAATAAAAAATTCAGTTTTAATAAATCTGTTTTACTCATTTACATGGGCAAGAAGGAAAAAAAATTACCTGAGAAAACTTGGACTTGTAAGTGTTCAGGATAGTAATCATGAATGAATCCAGAAGAGTTTCAAATACCTAAAACATAAACAAAAAAATGAAGCAAGCTTGTTACATGGAGAAAGGAACGATTTGGAAAAATATTGGCATCAGAAAGTACCTCACTCAAGCGCTTATTGTTTGCACACAATTCAAGATGCTCAAATGTTTGCACCATCAAGCCATCCAATAAATCAGCAACAACATTTTTGCCTAAACTCTTATGAGTTGAAGTTCTTGGAAACTGCAAAATGAACACTGCATTAGTTTTTTATTAAAAAAAATTCATGTTATTTATCAGACAACATGATGGAATTTAATTTTTGAGAAATGTCCAAAACTGCTTGGAGGAAAGTTGTCACGAAGAATCTACAGCCTATTAATGAGGATATAGATATGAATATAACAGAATGGAGACAAAAGATTCATATAGACATAGCAGACACTAGTTAGTTAGTGTTACCTATCTTATACTTTATTCTATTTATTAATATATCAAATGATTTTACAATTCCTCTTTCGAAATTTTTTCTACAAAAAGTATTTCAAAATTTTTTCTGACTTGTACTTTTGCTTTACATTGCTATTAATTTGATCAAAGTGGATATTAGAAATAATGGATCAAATATAGCCGATCTCAACTAGTTTGGGAATAAAACTTAGTTGTTGTTGCCCAACGAGCAAGAATTTGGTCAGCTCTGGCAATCCATGTTCTTGAATGAGGAATAAATATGGCCTAACACAAGTTAAACCTTTTGTATAATTTGCATAATCGATAGCAATAATGAAGTTTCTGATTACGTTATCTGGCTCCCAAAAGTCTCAGATCACATAGTCAAGGATTAGAGCCAAAAGGGTCAAAGGTAGAAGTCCTAACCAAAAAAGTTCTATACAAAAAACCAATATTGCAACAAATTATTATCAATGGGGGAAACAAATAACATCTATCCATAGAAAATGCAGACATATCTTTTATAGCTCTTAAAGACCAATATTGAAAAAATTCAAATGAAAGTTGGGAAAAATGCATATTACAGAAGCAAGAACACAGGATGCGCTTGCAAACAAGTAAACTAATTATTTCATACTTTCAAATTTTGTCAAGATAATTGATGTGTAGCAACTTCAGTGTCATACAAGGGTCGTAGGTCAAAAAATATGTTTTATGAAAATTTTTTCGTGAGTTTTTAACATTAGCATTTAAACCAATATTGAGATCTTACCTCGCCAATGTCATTCTCTTCATCATCAGAACCAATATCACCTTCTTCTAGCTCAATTGCAAAGATGCCTTTACTAGAGTCATCTCGTAATATGTCATCCCAACCAATAGCCACCTATATGTAAAGGTTGAAAAAATATAATTCAAATAAATTAAATGAAAACCTTTGTTCAAAACTAGATTAGTCAGATACACTTACATCCAACTCTACCAGCATGTCAACCACAGCCATAATCATCCTGTTCCCAACAAATTCTCTAATTGCACCACTTTCCAATCTTAGCATGTTCTCCACATAAATCTCAGTCTAGAAAAAGCAAGATAATAAATCGTCAAATTGGGATCTAGAACAACTTCTAATCGACAGTGAGCAACATTACAAAGTACAAACATCATACACCTCTGACGGATGAACTAACATTGGAAACTGCAGGAACATCACCTTAGGCTAAAATATAAAAGGACAATAAGTAAACTATAATTCTGCTTCCAGGTATACAAAGGTTGCACCGAACCCGGGTCTGATAAAATGTCACCAAGTAGAATCAAACAGTATCTTATAATACCTGAGCATAAAAAAGCAGCACCTCCCACTCATAAAAAATACACAAAAACTCTTGATTTTTAGACCATGTGTCAAGATTAGGGTAGAAACTATGGTGCTACGATGAACAACATTATTTTTCATGTAACTTATTGGAAAAAGTAATGCATGTATGGGTAGAAAGCATTCATAAAGGAGCTTGGCATTCTGATAGTCCAAAAAGGGGAGAAAAAATGAAAAAAAGATGCCAAGTTTCAAATTAAAATTGTGCATCAATACAAGTAGATAAGCACACATTACCCAAGTCCATTATAAGACTAAGTACAGCATGATTTGACATTGCAAAAGGTGGATGTATTGATTACAGACGTCGAATACAAGCTTAAGTGTAAATGGTCAAAAGAATTGCTTGAATAGTCAAAGAAGGGATAGGATATGGGCTGCAATTCATTCTTTCCTAATTAGTAACTTCCAAATCACTATGCAATTCCCAGCTATATATTCATTCTATAGATAACTCCAGACACACAAAAGTTCAAATCAAACTCACTCGATATTTTAGTCGATCTGTCTCAAGATCCTTCTTATAGGTTGTTGGCATTCTATGGACAACAACGTTTGACAATCTCAATGCTGCCATAGGTACCAAAGCAGCAATATCTTGTAAAGCAGTATGCACGCGAGAAAGAACTTGATCTTTTTTTCCATGACCACGTGGTTGCTTTAGTACATCTACCAAATACATGGGTGGCACGAAATTGCCAACAAGCATTTCCAAGCATGCATCAACATATTTGACATTTGAAGCAGCCTGAAGAATAGCATGTACAAAACATAAGTAATAATTCATCCTCCAAAAATAAAGGTAAAGACCAGTCATAATGCAACATACCAAGGAAATAACCAATTCGAGCAACGCATCCATCACATCTGGACCATAATTCCACATGCTCATTCCAAAAATCTGATAGATATTTCAATATGCAAAACATAAGCTGCCAAGACAAGTAACTCGAACAGATAGAGAGCCAAGTCAAATGTCCACAACTTACAGAACTAAGAAGAGATTCATGATAAATATTGTCTATGCAAGAAACTGCCCCAGATAGTGCCTTTAGACTTGTCTGCCAAGCGAGCACAGCGAGTTCAAAAATCAGCCAGAGAAGTTATTAATAGAGCAACTTTAGTTTCAAAAAAGTAGGAAAACATACCACAAGAAGGGCCACCTCATCCGATGATAGACGTTTTGAATGATGCATTACCCCAACAAGCTGGTGGTAACTTTCATTATCTCCCTAATCCAGAAGAATTAGCTTCGTTAAACAACTAATATATAGTAGAGAGAAAGAAGGGTACCCATAATTAAACAGATGAATTGAATAAGGACTGAGCAAGTATTGGCAACACATTTTTGTCAAGATAACTAGCTAGAAAAAACTACCTTCTGACTTTTTAAGGTGCTCACAGGTTGGGTTTTGGTTAAGATCAGCATGAATCCAAAACCAAACCAACCATCGTTGGTTCTCTATATTTCAGAACTGGAACCGTACTGTTCTTCAGAAATACCAAAATGAAGCCAAACCGAATAAAAATGAATTTAGTTCGGTTTGGTTAAGGGTTGAGAGGTCCTGTTCAAAGAGTGAACACATGGATTGGTCAACCCAAAAATTTCTCTCAACTCGATTTTCTTAGCAGCTTAAACTATAAGAGTCTTAAGAAAAAATAAAACATTAAAAATTCAAAAGGCAGCATCATAAATGGTTTGCTGCAGAGTGTATAATCACAGTTAACAACAAAATCAAGGAAAAAGAAAACACTTATGCAGGAAGACTGCCCAAATTTGGTTTAACTATTTACTGACAATAAGAAACACATTCTCTCTCTATTATCTATCTATCAACTGAGCCAGCTTCTTTGCTTTCTATACCATTTGAACAAGAAACCCCATATACCTCAAAAGAGAAAGCAAGACAAATTAAGTCGTATGCACTGAAATATTTCAATGATTGTGATGGCAAGGTACTCAAAAACCTGACCATCAACTCAATGAAGCTATGAGCCGACGTACCAATACTACAATCCCAATATGCCAGATTGCTTTGGTTTCAATGTCTCAAACCAAACCAATAGACAACCACCCAATATCTGTGGTTCCAAGAAAAGGCCAAGTAAAAAGATTTTTTGAGTGATAAATCAGGAAAGCCAGGCCAGAACACAAAATCTTTCATTTCTAGTTCTTTTCTATTTGTCAATTGAAGTGTGAAGTTCCTCATGCAGTTAAAAAAAGGGGCCAGGGATTGAAACTGATCTTTTAAAATTTTAAGGAACACTACAAAAAGATAATAACTTTTGCAGGAAGCCCCACCTCCACACCATAACCAAGCATCAAACATCCAAAGAACAATTATCACATGCCTTCGGGCTGAGTGGTGTATACAATACACCCTCATAGCTGCCCTCATTAATTAGGGCAACCATCCATAAGAATAACATGAAGACTCTAAAGAAATAACATTTAACGTAGATAGTATGAAAAAAAAAAAAAAAAAAAAAAGAAGACTCTAAGAAATAACATTTAACGTAGAAGTATGAAAAAAAAAAAAAAAAAAAAAAAAAAAAAAAAAATAGATGACACAAAACAAATTCCAAAAAGCCCCAAATCAAGAAAAAGCTTACCGTTTTAGCGGAAATAAGAGCATCCCTGACATGATAAACTAAGTCAGAATCACTGAAATTAAGATCCTCCATTTCGTTGAACTGTTGGGTTAACTCGACACCCATAACTTTCTGGTTTTGTAAATAACTGAGTTACTGGAGAAAAAACGGGTGGCTTTTCTTCTTCCCCTCCTTGTTGGCTGCTGCGAAGAAGAATAGCAAACGAGGGTTTTGGAGAACGAGTGCTATTAATATTATTATGGATGAATACACCAGTTCGAATCGAACCGTTTCCGAATTATAAACTTATCGAAGTACCCACGCGAGGTGGAGCAGTGGCAACTTATAAAAGTTGGAAATTGTTAGACGACTCGAATCGGATCTGCTATTTACGACTATCAAAAAAACCTTTCTTTTTCGCCTCTTGTATAACACCATGCGCTACTGGGTCCCACTACTAATATAAAAAAAGGTCTGGAACGTGGTTCTATGCGAACCATGTATTATTGCCCATTAATTACTTCTCTTAACTTGTTTCTTTTATTTTTATTTTTGGCCCCTGTCATCTTTTCTTATTCTCGATTTGGTTTCGTATTTTTCAAATTGTACAAACCAATGCCTGATAATAATTGGATGATCCTAAACGAACAGTAAATAGTTCGGTGTAAATTAAAACTAAACCAATTAAAATCTGTATCAAATTATGATTAATGAATTTTTTTTTTTTTTTTTTGAATTTTTTTTTTTTTTTTTTAACATCAAGTGAGGGGTGTTTTCCCGAATTTAGATTTACAATTAAGATTATATATTTATAGTTTCGAACCAAAATAGTTGATTTTTTTGATTAATGAATTTTTTTTTTTTTTTTTAACATCAAGTGAGGGGTGTTTCGAATTTAGATTTACAATTAAAATTATATATTTATAGTTCGAACCAAAATAGTTGATTTTTAATTTAAAATAGCCGCTACAGTTTAACACTGTGAAAATATTTTTTAAAAAAACTTTTAATTTATTTTTTATTTCATTATAATTTTTTAAAATAAATTTAAGACCTTTTGTTAAATTGATTTAGTCTATTTATTAGTACTATTTATTATTATTATTATTATTATTATTATTTATTCAAGTTACAAAACTTGGAAGAAGTTAAAAAGTTTGAAAAAATTATCTATTTTCAATTTCAAATGAAATAGAACCGTTTGGCGGTTCCAAAACCTTTTCAAAAATCACCTAAAAGCAGTTTTAAGTCCACTCTTCTTATAATAAACCAACCATTTTAAAATTAAAATTGGCTGTTCTAAAACAGTGATCAGGGTAAAATGATTGAGCTTGAGAAGGAGATTTATGCTAGGCTTTCAACTCCATAATCCAGCCCAATTGGAATTGCCTTCAAAGCTCCAAGGCCCAACCTTATAAAATTTATATTCTTTTTGTAATTCATTTAATTTTTAGACCTGATTATTTTTTACTCATGACAGGTCCATACAATTTAATATTTTACAGCCAGAGGATGCTTTCTTTTACAATCATGGTAAAGTAAAAAATAAAAAGACTGACCAAGTTAAATTTTTATATTATTAAATTAATTTGATATTAATTAAATTATAACTTTGGTTCGAAGACCAATAATATGAAACCGCATATTTGTAATCATGGTACATATAGCACATCTTTAATAGATAGAAATACAATCAACTTTTTACATTTAAGCAATTAATGACAAAGATTAAAGTTCCATAAACATATTATATATATACTACCTTATAAATTTCTGAAAATTTAATAAAATTATACTACTAAAACTTTTTTAATTTTAATTATTTATATTAAAATAAAATTTCCGTAGTATTATTGAATATTTTTAATTAATAATAATTAATTCTCACATAGTAATTATATTGTTATTTATTTATATATGTAATACTTTCAGACTGCTTTTTCTAACATCTAGAAGAACGTTGTTGATGTTTCAAATTCCAATCTCAATGTCAATTTTCCTGTACTACATCAGGGAAAGAAAAAAAAAAGTTTTCCTTGAGGTTTCTCTTGCTCGAATTTTTTTTTTTTCCATAACATATTAGATATTTTAATTCATTGCCCACCAGCCAAAATCGATAAGGACAATCATGGATAATTCTCTCATATTTGTGAAGACAACAATAACTAAACTTTAATCTCAAAAATTAGCTGGGAACTTCTATATGAATCCTTTATATCATTATATCCGCACGAGTCCATAATAGCAAGAATAAGAAGGATAAAAAGAATAATATATAAATGATAAAAGAAAAAGATAAATCCATTTCACTTATTTAACTCGTCTTGCCACTGTGCTCATTTCCAGCTCTTAAAAGTAAATAGATATTTGACATCAGTCAGTAGTCTGGTGATTTTCCTACTGTATAGGAATGTAAAAAATAAGATCGGGGTAAGAGTCTCCAATCACAAGAGTTTTCACTATTAAAAAGGGAAGGTTAGCTCCCTTATTTTACTATTTTGGTGCACTTAACCCGAAAGAAAAAAGGGGAAGGGGATAAAAAGAGCACAACTTTGTGAAAATCTTTAATGCCATTGTAATGTATCCAGTGCTTGTTGGTGAATCTGTTTGTCTCCTGCTGCCAAGATGTTGAAACCTAAAAAATAAAGCAATAATTGAACGATCAGTGTCAATAAATACCTTAAAGATGAAGAGCAACAATAATAATGTGTCCCTGAAAAATGTCAACTTACTTGTTGCACGAGAATTTGGTGAAGCATCCCAAAAAAGACTCCCTCCTTTCCAATCAGTTATAATACCTCCAGCACCCTCTATCACTGGAATGAGGGACAGGAAATCGTATGGCTGGGGAAAGAAAATTTAACTAATCGTAAATAAGGATGAAGTATATGCAAAACATATACTTAGCTGACAGTTATGATGATTGGAACTGTTGAATCAAATTACAGCTCACTTTGTAGGGGAGAGAACAACAATGCAAATGTCAAACTCCTCATCTTAATTAGCGTATAGTGACTTAGGGCAGTTTTGCAAATATTCATCAAAACATGCTTTATTGGGGAAAAAAATTAGCACTCCAGATTATTTTTAGATAATTCATTTCTCAGAAAGGTTGTCACCTAATCTAAAATGAGAAGCCATGCAAGTATATATCAGTTGGTCAATCAACATTACGGATGAAATAAGCGCGACATACCTTAACACCGGATTCGATGGCAAGATCCACATATCCAGAAGCCAAAAGAGCAAAAGCATAGCAGTCACATCCATATAAGGGCATTTTCACCTATAAAAAATGAATACAGGGAACTTGAAATTGGAAACTGAGTAACGATAAGACAGCAAAGATAGGTTTGATGCAGGTTCTAAATCTATCAAGTTAAGGAAGAGCAACAACAGTCCCATTGTTTGGTTATTCTGTTATTAATGTTCTCTTTGTGTTTTAGTTACATCATCTATTAATATTCCATGGCATAGAAGCTCTTAACAATAACCATTTTGAACAGATGATTCACCTTACTTCTTAAACGAGCAAATGCTTCTTTTTGTATTTTAGTTACATCATCTATTAATATTCCATGGCATAGAAGCCCTTAATAATAACCATTTTGAACAGATGATTCACCTTACTTCTTAAACGAGCAAATGCCTCTTCAGCATCCCCACTAAATAGATGTGGGCTTGTGGTGTACCTAACCAAGGGAGAGAGAAAATAGTCGAGTTATAAATACACACCACTCATGTGACCTAGATGGGAAAAAAAGAAGTTAGAGTATATAACCAGAGGAGAAAATGCTTTAATTTAATTAGATCACAAGTTTTATTTCTTGCATCACAACCATTTTGTTTCAGTAGAAAAACAAACAAGACCCTGAGGACATACAAATATGCCTGTGACAGTTTTGCACAAGTGCGTGTAGACAGTTCCTCCCCATTCAATGTTGTTCTCTTTCCGATTATCCCAACCCATCTTTCTCTAAGTATCGGCTGATCAACTATGCCCAGTATCTGTAAAAATATTTTTGGCACTTAAATAAAAATACAACCCTTGTAAAGATGAAGCATGCAATTCAAAACTCCCCATGCGCTTCTTTATAAAATAAATTTATTTTAAGTTTAACTGCTTAAAATATTACACCAAGTATGCATAAACCGACACGGATAAAGTCAATGACGTCAATACTGACCATTCCTAATACATACTCCAATAATATGTTAAAAAAAGATCACCAAGTCATGTTTACCAAAGAGAAGTTCTAGGAAGATAGCCCAGGAGAGAATTCTGTATGCTATTCTGTATGAAGTCACTGTTATCTCGTGGCTTGACCTTTAAGATTGTTTAATGCTATGGCCATTGTAAAAGTCATGCCCTTCTAAATTGTTATACAAGGAGAAATTCCAGTTTTTTCATGACAGGAACATCTATAGTTCACTCACTTAACAAAATCTAGCCTTCTTTAGAATTAAACCTTTATTATTCATCAATTTGCACATTCAGAAAGGAAAACATGAGTTGCGCAGCTTAATATCCTCTAACTCAATTTCTAACATTGCCTTAGAATGTTCTGAAAATATGATAGACTGATAACATACCTTCCATTTGGTATAATAAGTTCAACAAAATTTTGTGGAATTGAAGGAAGGAAGCGAAGTAGTATACTTGTGAAGGTAGGTTTGGGCCAGTTCGTGGCAGGGAAGGAGATACAGTGGGTTCTGGCCACTCAGACAGAGAAGGAAGGGAGAGGGTAGTGAATAAAGCCAGCCAAAGTAGAATAATACGATTAACCAGAATAGAACCCTCCTAATGAAGGCCAGTTGATGCCAGGGAAGTCTTCCTACTATAAAAGAAGGGGAAGCCAGCACCCGCCCATTGTGCTCTTCTCTCTCTCTCTCTCTCTCTCTCTCTCTCTCCCACTTGTTCTCTCTATCTCATCATCTTTTTCTCTGCTTTCTCATTCATGCTTCTCTTCCTCTCACTTTCATTCTCTTCTTTCTCTCCTCTTTATCTCTCTCATTCTCATTTTCTTTCTATCTTCATTTTTTAAGGGTATTTTAGACAATTATTACATATTAAATTGAATTCTAAATTTATTCCAAACTCAAAATACATGGAATTAAATTGAATTTCACATTTTAAACTTGTTATAATGAACATATTCATTTGCAAATGAATTCTAACTAGAACTCATTTACAAATGAATTCCACGTTTTTAACTAACACACACCAAATAGGGCCTTAAGTTTTTTCCTTTATTTTCACATTTGAGAGGGAAGAAAAGCATCTTGCGTTCAGAGCCATAGATAAATATAAACAAATAATCTTCTAATTTTACCCATCAAAAATTCTGTAACAAGCTTATTTGCACTAAAGAGAAATTACTCCTATCTTTCTTTGTTTGCAACAAGACAGAAGGTTATTCTTACCGGTTTACCCTGATGCAGTAAAGCAATGAGCGTACCAAACAAGGGCTTGCCTGAAACAATTGGAAGTATTGAATTACTTATTGAAATTTCTCACAGATCAGATGTTGATGACAATACAAGAGGAATGAATGGAAACACACCAGTAATAAAACTCTTTGTCCCATCTATTGGATCTAAAACCCAAACATAGTCAGAGAATTTTTCTTTACATCTCCAGCCATTCTCCTCACCATAACTACAATCACAATTCTTCCACAATTACAGAAAACAATAGACCAACAACAGAAAAAGATAATTAAGTTCCGCAATTAAAAAATCAGCCAAGTATCTACTCGACTTGCTCAAATACACACTTAAAATTGTTGGATCCAGAACAGCCATAAGATAGGGAGGAACATGATGAATTTTTATTTTTTCTAACCAGAAATCAACTATAGAACAAGTAAAAGAAAAAATCAATAATATATACAACTCACATTGCATGAGAAGGAAAATTCTCCAATATAATTGAAATCATAGATTCTTCAGCTGCTTTATCCGCAATTGTTACAGGGCCTGTAATGAATTGAATACCACAATACTGAGGATAGAAACAGAAATTAACATATGCTCTAAGTTGCAGAGTACCAGCCATAGTGCTTATCAATGCTCTTGGTTATGAAAGCAGAAATAAAAGAGAGATAAAGTGGTGCCTAGATATTATGACATTTGAGACAGGAAAAGACGTTCCACCTTGAACTAAACAATGCAAGAGTTTGGCTCAGTAATCAAAGTACTACTTTATAATGGAAGAAGAAAAAATCAAAACTTTCAAGATAAATCCTATCTTTTTCGGAATAATCTCACAGTGAAACTAAACTAAGGAATTTCAGTTGTAATTTAAAAAAAAAAAAAAAAAATCTACACTCAGTTAATCACTGCATAGAGTTATTGTATCTCTGAACAGAGAAGTCAGAGAAATTATGAAGCTTCTAATTATTTCCAATGTGCTAAACTTAATTAAACTTTACTAGAGCAACACAAAACACAAAAGTCATAAATTTTCTTTTCCCTTTCATTTCCTACATTTTCTAGGCAACCAAATGAAATGAAGCCTCGCGTTTCCAATTGCCAATGAAAAATCAAATCATTGTTACGAAACTCCCAAATTGAGCTGGAAATACCATTACGAGAGAGCTAACCGAAAATAATGCGCACAGATTATTAATAAATATGTGTTTAGATATTGCACATACTCGAATCGTCCTTATCGAGAATTTCGAATTTCTTTCGAAAGTACTTGCGAATGACTTCACCGGAGGCATCTGCGAGCTTGTTAGCGACATCGGCGAAGCGATCAAGGTCAGCGGCAGTGAGTACTGACGGAAGAATATCGGAGTGATCAGAAAGCTTTGAATTTGAAGTCATTGTGGAAGTAAATCCCGTTTGGAGTTTAAGAGAAATAGCGGACTGCGGCTTGAAAGCTGGAAATGAGAATGAAGTGGCGGCAGCCGTCGTGGTAGAGTTTTGAGAGGAGAGAGGGAAAGTAAAGAATTTAGGGGTAGTTTGAGAGAGGAAAAAGGATTGCAATTGAGGGAGCATTTGTAAAGGTAAGGTTAAATAGGCGGGACACAGAGAAAGAGGGAGAGAGAGAGAGAGAGAGAATGTGGGAGTGACGAAGAAGCGAGAGTGTGTGTACAGTACAGTCAGGCAGTGACACGGAAGAGAGGAACAGAGAAGGAGGACGGGAAACCTGTGGTAAAATGCTTAGATTTTTCGTTTTTTCTTTTAGAAAAAATTACAATTTGATTATTTTATTTTGTCATAATTAATTATTTTACCCCTATATTTATAAAAATAGATGATTTTATCCTTCTGTTCTGCTATGCACCAAACTATCAATTTTTGAACGCCCTAATTTTGGCAAAGATAATATAGCACCTGAAAATTGGGCAAGGAAGGGGAAAGTTTAGGACTACTGAGGAAGAATAATTTTTTTCACTGGGAAATATTGTTACTTGTCAATCGTTACAATCGACCTCTCATAATTACTTTTCATCAAAAAATTAACAATACCAGCTGATAGAAGACGAACTACAGCTACTATAACCTTCACTACTACAACCCTATAGTTAAACTCTTGGATACAAAGACACATTTTGGCAGAACTTAAAAACAGAATATCATTTTCTGAAATGGAGAAAAGAAGGTTTTGGTCATATTTAGTATGTCTACTGAAGAAAAAAATAAAACAAAATATAAAAAATATACAAGAAAATGTTAATGATTGGGCATGAATGTTCATAGCCCAAACATATATTATTACACCACTCTACTGAACAAAAAAAAAAAAAAAAAACGAAACTACAGCTACTATAACTTCCTACTAACCCTAATAGTTAAAACTCTGGATACAAGACACATTTTGGCAGAAACTTAAAAAACAGAATATCATTTTCTGAATGAAAAGAAGGGTTTTGGTCATATTTAGTATGTCCTACTGAAGAAATAAACAAATATAAAAAATATACAAGAAAATGTTTACTGATATAGGGATAAAAAAAAAAAAAAAAAAAGATAAGATAAAGAAAAGAAAACCTACAAATGTTCAATTCACCCAATACAATGAACATACAAAGAAAGCATACAAAGTCCTACATATGCATATAACATTTTTATTTATATAATTTCATTAGTGGTTGTGACTGTGGTGGCCAGGCAACTTCTCTTTTATCTTCTCCATTACACTCTTCTTCTCATGTTGATGGTGTTGAGGATCCCCTGGGGTTGTTTCAGTGATTGCTGTCTGTTTATGCTCTTCCTTGTGCTTCCCACCTGTCAGCTTCTCCTTTATTTTCTCCTTCAATCCCTTTTTCTTTCTCCTCCCTCCTTGCTCATCATCCTCTGACTACAAACACAATGAAAAACAGTTATTGTATAATATCAAATTAAGACTAATAACATAACTTCGACAAAATTATGAGACGGACCGAGCTAGAGCTTGAACTACTAGATCTTTCAAGTTCTTGTTGTTGTTGTTGCGGTTGCTCCGCTTTCACGGGCTCAGGTTCAGCACCACCTACATGCTCGCCAGTGTGGCCCTTTGGTGGCTCCTCCGTACTAGCCAAAAGGCCAGTATCCGGCACATCGATCTGCAGAACATTTGCAATGGTTGCAGGCTTAGAGGTAGCTAGGCCAGTTATATGCACTGGGTTGCCATGTTCATCGGTCAATTCAACTGGATTTCCATGTTCATCGGTAAGTTGAATTGGATTGCCATATTCATCTCTTAAATCAGCCATTTTTTCTAAAGTTTAGTTGATAAATCTCCAAATATGAATGTTTATATATGGGATGGCCACTGTTCGAGGGAAAGTCGAATTATAAGTAAAAGGAAATGAAAAGCGGCGCAAAAGGCCAGAAAAATAGTATTGTTTCCATGCGAGTAACTACGTTTCTACACGTATTGTTAAGCATTTGAAGGGTATTGACACGTTATGGATTGGGCGGCTACGTGTGAGTTAACTGAGCCACATGGTTTATAGCTTCTGTTGAGAGGAAAATTCTGATCAGTTCCCTTATGCAGCAGCAATGCAAAGCTTTCTTTTTGGATGCATATGGCATATCCAAAGACAAATGTGTCTTTATTTATCAAACCAAACATATCAGTCTTTGTATTTCCATTACGAGACACCCAACAGAAGCTAAGGATAATATCAAAACCATCAAACTAAAACTCATTAATCCTCAAATTTTGTTTTTGCTTCTAGAATTTAATAAGGTGTTGCCATGAAATAGAGAGAGCCATCGCCCAAAATGGCACAAATAATGGCTTGTATTGAGCTGCAAGTCAATGAAGAAGATGCTTGTAAAAAATAAATACTTCCATTGCAAAAGCCACTAATAGATTGCAACCCATTAAGAACAATACACCAAATGAAAAGAAGAGAATTTGATATTTGATTTATTGGTGTACAACATTCATTTGGATCAATTCATTAATTGTCTGACCAAGAAAACAAATTAATCTGTACAAAAATAAGAATAGAAGTTACTAGTCTCGCAATGAAATTTCATCTACTAATTAATTTTCCATGATCAATATAAGATTCGTTTTTCTATGATTTTTTTTTTTCACTTTTCTTTACAAGTGTAACTTCACAAGCTAATCCTGTTGGGATTTCAGAAATGTTATGCAAGTGTGCATATGTTTGTAAACCAAAGCTTTGAAGAATGATGACCTGTGCCAGTGATCCTCAGAATCCCTTTCCAATGCAGAGAAGGTCAACAGTGGAATCTTTCTGCACAGAAAACTTAATCGTGAACTTGCAAGAATTTTACAATGATCAAAATGCAAATAATTCCAATAATTTCAACTTGAATTGGTATATCTAGAGGTCAAATGTAGGCATAATTAAGGCAGGTTACGATCTTTTCATAATGGGGGAAGACAGCTTCCAGTGATTTGTATCGACAAGAGTAGCATAGAGACATGCTATAGATGTGCTCACCTCTTAATAACAAGGAAAAACCTCATGCCTTCATGGATCTCGTCCAGAAGAATCCCTTCTTTTTGGTTGCATGGTTCTCTGTTAAGGATTTACTAGCCTTTGATGATCCAAATGAAAAATGCCGCTTCAAGAAAGGCTTTGCCAAGGAGCTCTTCATGCTGGAGCTTGAAGCCATCTTGGGACCCTTTCCTTCATGTCCACTACCTTTTAGGCGATTAAACATGACAGAATCACCATCGAGATCACTGTCCACAACCCGGTTTCTCGATCTTTTGTTTTTTGCCTTCAAATCCAATTCTGCTTTAAAAGCTTTTTGAGACAGCTTATGGGTTTGTTTTTCCCCTAGCGTACAAACAGGACAAGATGGATCATACTTGTTAATGTCAGGTGTCAAAGTCTCCAAACACTCGGCGTGATAAACATGCCCACAAGTTAGAACAGCAACAACAGAGAGCTCGTTACTCAAAACAAGCTTCTGGCTGCTCCACAAAGATTTCTCAGTCAACAGCTTTGAACAAATCCCACATGTTTGAAAATCAACAGAGGGAGAAGAAGATATTCGACCACTGGACCTGGTTTTCTCATGATTCAAGCCCCAGGACTCAGTGTCAAAAGACCACCTTTCTCTATGTGAAGTTGCCATGAGCTCAGAAAAAGCATGCATAGACCAACCATCGGAAGACCCACCATGGGACCCCCGAGTTGATTCATTGCTCCATGAAACAGAGGGAGAAGAAGATATTCGACCACTGGACCTGGTTTTCTCATGATTCAAGCCCCAGGACTCAGTGTCAAAAGACCACCTTTCTCTATGTGAAGTTGCCATGAGCTCAGAAAAAGCATGCATAGACCAACCATCGGAAGACCCACCATGGGACCCCCGAGTTGATTCATTGCTCCATGAAGGAACTGAGGATCTCTCTTCAGGAACTGAGAAGCTGTTTGATGACTTAAATTCAGTGACTCTGGTATCAGAAACTTGCCCCATTAACTGATTTCCGGAAGAATGATTGGGCCAACTCGGTGTGGTTGAGCTAGCAGGATGCAGATAACTTTGGGATGATACTGGAGATGGTATGGATGATGTTGAAGGTAATGAGAGAGAGAATTTTGTTGGGGATGGATTTGAAACTGCCGGGGATTCCGCTGACTCCTTCATCTAGTAAATGGATTTAAAGAAACAAATCATATTAAGGGGGAAAAAGGAGTTTTCAAATCAAAGATCTAAGAGCAAATAAGTCCCTTCCATACAAAGAAGCTCTACCTGTTCCACACTTGTGTCCATTGACATATTCCTTGAGACAGATTGATCTGCCACAGATATAAACTAATATCAGACATCAGTAGTAATTACAAATACAAGGGTCTCTTTTTTTTTTTTTAAAAAAAATGCATTGCATTAAGACACAGTTCGATTCAACTATGGAACATACGAAACAGCTATAGAGAAATTATCAGTCTGAACAATAACTAGTTGGCAAAAAGCTGTAATGTAAGAGAGCATCAAGAATTTAGTTCAAAACTTTGAAAAAAGGGGGAACAAGAAGGCGGACTGTTACAATTTGAAGTGTTCAAGAACACTATAAAAAGGATATAGAAAAATGAATGTTGACTAGACTAGACTGCAGAACAATAAAATCACATAGAATTACCAATCCAATACAACATCTGATGTTCTAAACAAGAACATGGACGCTATTGACGTTTACGTGATGCAGGATGCAGTTAAATCAAGGGGCCATTTGGTTGCCGGAATTCAACAAAATAACTTTCCCAGGAAAGTTATACAGAAATGTCCAATAATCTTTTTTGGGGGACAACAAAAATTTCCCAGGAAAGTTAAGATGATTGTATCAGTTGGATTATAAAAAGTTTAAAAAAATATACTACATTACATTATATACCCCCAGTTTAATTAGATCTCTTTTATTTACTTAATAACCTGCAAAGTTACCATAAAACATAAATAAAAGTATTAATGTAATGAAATTTTTATAATAATCAATCAATATGAAATGTAAATACCGTTCAAAATTACTTTGACATGTTCAGATTCATCTCCAATATGAAACAAGTTTCAAATATAGATTCAAGTCCAGGTTATTTAATATTTACAAAACAAGCAAAAAAAAAAAAAAATGTGTGGCATTATTTGACTTCAGTTTCCTTGCCAAATGAGCCAAATTTGAGCTAAGGCCACTCTCAATTGATTTAAGTTATAAATGAAATCATTCATAAATAAATGTACTAAACAAATATATTTGTGATATTTCAATACTATAATTATTATAAAATGGGTCACTTTCAGGAACCATGTTAAAATTATGTAGCATCCTCAATGCCAAGAGCTTCAAAACTTACATGGTCAAGAGAAGACCACCTGCTGTAGTTGATTTTGGAATCAAAGAGTAATCAAAGAGCTTCAAAACTTAAATGTATATGTAAATATAATTTAAAAGTTGAAACCAAATAACTAATCATGCTTACAAATTTCTACACTTTGCACTTATTTTTCAAGTTCATATTACTGTATCTTATAGCTCTAGAGCAAATATAAGGAGCTGAACCAGCTTTATAAATATCATTATTCCACACTCCTTTTGAGTAACTTCAGCAAAAATTAGGTTGCCTAACATAAAGGCTTAGCCAAAAGAATTTAGCTCTGTAGCAACAGACTGCAACCACGTGCTAGAAAAGAATGTGGCTTCAATTTATTTCTCAACATCCGTGGTGCATGTAAGCTAGACTTGAGGCAGTAGAAATTCACATTACAGTCGCCCCTCAGCCTTTAAACATAGTTAACTTTGCTACATTTAGGCAAATGGTAATATAAATACTAAAAATTTTAATTCCACACTCTCTCCCTCTAAATAGAATGACTTAATCACGTATCCTTAGCCAGTGTCACCATACATAAGAGAGTTCCATTAAACTGTTTTTCTGTCTTTCCATTTTAAATTTCTATTGCTCTGTGGTAATAGAACTTCGTGTCGGGATTATCCTTATTTTGAACCTCAAAAGTTAAGCGTAACAACAAAAGATATGAACCCAGAATCACTAGGATTAAAGCTCTTCTAAAATCAGATGCATATTTTTGGGTAGTGAGGGCATATAACGCCAGCTCATAATCTGAAAGTATGCCTCTGGATGTGGCATTTAGAGATGATTCAACTCAGTTAGTCACCAAAGAGTAGAAGCCATTTTATTATTCTTTGCATAAATTTCCAGAAAAACATATTCAGCCTAAAGTCCTTGTGTTTCTAGCATTCATCGTTTTTTAATCCCAGCCTGTGCATATCGAAGGTATCTCCCGAGATGTTTAACTTCAACTTAATATGATAATTTTTTATTTGTCAATCTCTAACAAAAACTCCAGCAAATAATACATGCACCTTATTTTCAGTAACAATAACAAACTACACTAGTAACATGCAAATTTCCAACAAGGCCTCCGCTAGACTATTGCTAGAGTATATTGCATCTCTATTCATGCTTTTTGGTTAATATGCATACATACAAGTCATACACAGCTAATTGAAAAAGTACCTGGAAAACATATTCATTGAGAATAATAGAATGATCAATTTCCAGAAAAAAATGTTAACAGTATATGAAACATGTTTAAGTAAAATTATAAGCTCCATCAACAAGCAGTTTACCTGAACCCGGAGTCCTCACATGTGCAGCAGTACCATCAGATATTGGCGACTTCTGCCATGCACGTCTCCTAAAACTATCCAACGGGCTTCCTTCCTCAGATGCATAGGCTGATTCGTTTTTAACCTCTAGTCCATCGTTCCTACCATTTGTGTCTGAAAACCAAGTTATGGAAGTTTCCTCCCCAGCTACTCGCCCTCTATTATCCCACCGAAAGCTCCATGTTGGCGAATACCGAATATTCCTATGCAAGATCTCACTACTTGGTCCATTTACAATATTTTTATCTCTAGCAGCAACACAACAAGCACCCCCCATGCTAAAATACCCTGTGTTGCAAAATTCTGATAGCAATCCCAAAACTTTCACTCACATGTCGTGAAGTTCAAACACGACTTAAAACCCAATACCGTCACTTCAAGGAGACAGAAGAAGACCCAGGTACAGTTGTGGCTCTGCAATTAAGAAGGGGAAAACAAAAGCCATCATTTTGATATCAATAATTCGATAATCAGACTTTAAAATCATATAAAAACAAACCATTTAAAAGGAGTACGCCTGGAAAATTTTAAGAAAATGCTTCATCAAGTCTCAAATGATTAAGACCCAGTTTCATTGATCGCTTAAAAGAAGTAAGTTTTACAAGTTTAAAGTCAAACATGACAATTAGTCAAAAACTTTAAACATGAAAATGGGAAAATTAAAAAGAAAAGAAAAGAAAAGAAAAAAGGACCAAATCCCCTACCTCAAAACACTAGTGAGAGCTTTAAGTGACTGAAATTCCCAGAATATGATTTGGACATACCACACTCAAAAGACAACGTCCACAAAAAATTTACACTAAAACCAGAATCAAAATTGTGGACATAACAGAACATGGACCGAATCTTATTCTTCAGACGTCTTACCCATACCTAATTTCGAGAAGATTAAAAGGGTTCGATTTCAAGTTCAAAACAAAATGAACAAAAAACAAATAGGGTAAGAAAATTCAAAGTCAAATTACTTCATCCAGGGTATAGAATGAACCAATTTTGAGTTCAAAAAGATGAATTGAGAACTGAAAAAACACAAACACAAACTCAAATTTCTCTCCTTTCAACACTCACTGGTTCACACCAACCTCACCAACCAACCCACTTGCCCCAAAAAAAGAATCAAAAAGCCCATAAAAAGCAACACCCAAAAACAGAAACAACGGAAATATTACACCAAGCACAACAAAATATAAAGAAAAAATCGAAAGCAAATAAAAAGGACCGAAATCGAATCAATCTGCTACTCTATAGGTAACTGAAGAGTCAGTCCTAATCCAAACTCATCTAAAAATAGTAAAATCAAAGAACGAAAGTGGAAACATCACACATGTCAGAGAGATCCGAATTTTTCGCCCAAAAAACTGCACTAATAGTCAAAATCTATAAAGAAAAAAATAAATTAACTGATAATATATGTCAGAAAAGAAAAAATCAATCACCGAATATCTGAAACCTGACGTGATCGAGACCAGCAGTACCTCTATCGGAGTCAAAACGCCACCGTTTAAAAGAATATTTTTCTAAAGAGAGAGGCTGTAAGAGAGAATAAAAATTGAGACTGCGAGAGGCTGCTCGTTCTTCGTTGCAGAAAGGGGGAGAGAGAGGGAAAGAGTGAAGTCGTTTTAGACGATTTTGTCAACGCCGTTAGATTTTGTTCCGGAATTTAAACGTTTACATTTTTTTGACGGAGTTAGGTGACGTATATTTGAAGGGTTTTGCTACGTAAACTTAAATTTTTCATTTTATTCGCGGTAAATTTTTTAAATGAAAAATAAAGCGGAGAAAAAAATATTTTTCTGTCTTTTAAAAAGTAATAAAAAGAAAAAGGGAAAAATGAGCGTCAGCTGAACAGATTGATTTTCAAAGAATTTGATGTGATTTTTGTTTTAATGGAAATTTTTTTGTTTATTTAATTTTTATTATATCAAATAAAAAATAAAAAATTCTTGAAACCAAACTGATTTTAACTTAAAAATTAAATGAAAATTGAAAAAATTATTGAATAATATTAGTTGCTTAATTATTATAGTAATTATAAACTTTTTTATGTTAGTCATTAAATATAAATAATTTAAAAATCCAATTATTCAATAAATAATAGTAAAAAGAGGAACTTTCATTGAGGTACTTCTCCACGTTAAGAATCTATTTGCCAAACTATTTTAATAAATATTAGTTATCTGAGTAGTTTTTTTTTTTTGTGAAATGCTAATAAAAATCAAACATTATATGTTTTAACTTTTTAAAATTCTCTGTTTAGAAAGAGTGGTTTTGAGAGAGGAAAGAAAATGTGGATGGAAAATTACCGGGGAAAGAACTTTCCCTCGTTTGGGAAGGTAGAGGAAAATTGCAAAGGAAGTAAAATAACCATTAAAATCCTTCCGGGCCCATACAAAGACAATCTCTCCAAAGAGGAGAGAAAATAACGGATTGTGAGGGAAAAGGTGCTGTTTAACACACAATTACTAAATTGCCCATATTTTTACCGAGGGACCTTTCTATTCTTATATTCATCATTGTCCTTCATTTTTTACCTTCAAATCCTTTTCTTACAATTTCATCATTAATCCTCAAACCACTTACAAATTTTAAATTAAAATCACCGTTTTTCTAGATTTTTTATATTATTTTAAACATGATTATAAATTGCATATATATTAAAAAAAATTAGATATATCAAATTTCATGAATAAACGTAAAACATGCATTTCAAAATTATTAATTTTTATAATTAATTATGTAATTAATAATTATAAAATACTTAATACACATATAAGGGCAAAAATATAAATTTACAATAACACAATTTTCATTTCTCTTTATTAATTTTTTAATTAATATATTATTTAATAATTAATAAGGATAAAATTATAAATTAGTAAAAATACCATTTTCTTTCATCCTCCTCTTTTCCTTCCAATCCAAACATATGGTGGAAAATGAGGAGGGAAAATAAATTGTACAATCCCTCTCTGTTTTCCTTCTATATTTTCATTCCTCCCTTATTTCCTTTCTCTCATTCCCAAACAAAGTGAAAAGGTATTGTGTGGAAATGGGTTATTGTTTTGTTTTATACAGATTCGATGCAAACCAAACGCTGACTCCTAAAATAGAGATAGGATAGTACTAATTCTGCGTTTTTGCTTTTTCAAGATTAAAAAAATATAATAAAAATGTAATTAAGAATTAAATAAAAATAAGCCGCGGATGCCTTCTGCAGTACGCAGAGTGCGTAGTGCGCATGGCATGCTTTTCACGCTGCAAGAAAGTATCAAAAATTAAGAGATTAATTGTCAAAAAGATTCTTTAAAAGGTCTAATATTCTTAATAATCATAATTAATTATAATTTTTGGATTCTCTTTGGTCCTTTCTCTCCGCAATTTCCATCATTCTTTTGTTTCTATTAGGAGTTTAGTATTAATTCCTCTTTTACAGTCAGCCAATAAGAAAAAGAGGCGTGTTATATATAATTACATATTTTACTATTTTCAATTGGTAAACTGAACTCTTTTTTTTATTGTAATTACATATTTTAATTTTGCCCAAACCTTTATTTCGCGCTGAACTTTTAGAATAATTGTAATTTTACTCCAAATCGATTTTTGTATCTTAGACATCTTGAATTTATCACTCTAGTTGCAATTACACCATAATTTGCTCTTAGAATGCAATTGCACCCTCAAAGTTAATTACAACACTTTGAATTGACAATTTCTTACAATTGCATCCTAAGAGTAAACTAAGTTTGGAATTTTAATTAAAATAATATAAAAAATTATATATCCAAATATTTAAACAATAAATAAATAAAATCAAGATTGATTATTTGAATTTAAAATTGAACCAATTTTAAGATGCAAAAATAATGAATTTAGATATTAATTCAAATTAAGATGTAATTGCAATTAGTTAATAAGTTCAGGATGTCCAGAATACAGAAGTCGATTTAGAGTGAAATTACAATTATTCAAAAAATTTAGGGTGAAATTGAAAGTCAAACAATTTAATTTTATTCCGTAGTCGCATCTACTAATGAAATATTAAATTAAATCTTATATTATAACACTATGGTATTTTACTTAGGGGTAGGCATTTCAAATCCAACCAAACCATTGTTAACCTAATAAATCAAATCTTTGCGAACTTAAAAATCAAATTTGAACGAATAGGAATAAATTGTTTATTAAACTGAATTGAATCAAATTGTTTTATTAGTTTTGGATGTTCAAAATGTTTTATTGTCTAAATTTGTGACTCTTGTGCTTCTTAATGAAACATTATGAGAGTTTTATATTTGAGAACATTGCAATTTGGTGAAATCCTATAACTTGGTGCAATTGCTCAATTTTCATGTGAATTATTTGTTCAATGTTGAATTTTACTTTGACTTATTATAATTTTTTACTATTTTTAGTCAATTAAACCTTATTTTCAAACTTAATTACAATTATATTCGACAACCTTTCTACTTAAAATTGAAAATAATAAAAATATTTTATTTATTAATAAATATTGAAATGCAAAATTGTATCAAATAAGTCCAATAGTTAATTCTATATTTGTTTAATATGACTTAAATTAGCATGTTAATTAATAGCATTTCAATGTGATCAAGCTGTTTAAAATTGCCATATTTATTACAATTTTTTTTTATACCACCGAGAGATGTTAAATCCCGTCAAGCTAACCATAGAGATTTTTAACTCTTGCATTTTTTAGTAATCGAATTTATAATCTCATTCTTATAAAATTTAAAATTATTTATCACTCCCATCAATAAATTAATTATTGTTAGACTTAATTAAATCTGATTTTGTAATAAATATAATTCTCAAATTCAACTTTTCATTTTATTTCATATTTTTTCATAAGTGGAAAATTTTATGTTGGTATTCTAAAATTTTGTCTATAAAAAATATTTCCTCTGTCTCATTTTGTTTGCTTGTTATTCATTTTTGGATGTTCCAAAATGTTTGCAGAAGTTTATAAATTTAAACATGTAAATAATTATTTTTCTCATAATAACTTTTATAATTATTCATTGAATGGAATGATTTTAGTATCTTAATGAGTGATTAAGAGTAAAGAAGAACTTTTGTTAACTAAATTCTTAATATGTGTATTTTATCAAACTATATAAACAAAATGGGACGGAGAGATTATACAATTTCAACTCTAAAATATTTTCCGGAGGTTTCTGAATTTGTGGCTTGTGAATTGATCATCCGCTTGTATCTACCTATCTGTCTCTTTCTTATCTAGAGTTTCTTGTACTCTTGGTCTTGGGGCTATTTTATTTATAAGTTTTATAGTGAATTATCTATTTTTTTTACATAACATTACCTCTTCTTCTTCTTTTTTTTTTTCTTTTCTCTCATTCCATACGTACACTAATGGAAGATAAAAGATTTCATCACAAATTAAAAATTACATACTATTAAAATAATTTAGCATAAATGAACCATGGAATCAATATTTTCAGGAGGATTTTAACATAATCGTTTCGCAGTCTTTCATCTAATTATAAAATAATATCATTATAGAAATAAATAAATAAGCTTTAAATTTCGAAGAGACACCCCGAACATTAAAATTTCACATTTTTATTTTATATTGAAATCTTGTTAAAGATAGAGAGGGATTATGAATACTAAATAAAATGTATATATTTTAAAGAACTTGTTTAATTTTCAATTCTACATTATATGTATAATGACTATAATATCTTTTTTTATATATAATTTATTAGACCATTTAGCCTCAACACTTAGATTTTGAGCGTAAACTTAAATTTATAACATAGTATCAAACTACATTATTTTTCTTTGTCTTCTCACAATTCCACAATCAAAAATTATTATTATTATTATTATTATTTTTAATTCGATTTAATTTCTCTATCTCAGTTTCTAATTAGTAAAATGAGTTACGAAGTCGCTTTATAGAACTTTAAACAACCGATTGAATTGTGTTTGTACACAATTTCTTTCACAAAATTGTTTCGGATTAGTTAGAAAAATAGCTCATGCTACTCAAAAACATATGTTCAAAAAACATTTCTCCCTGACAATAAAAAGATTGGGAAAATAAAAAATAAAAGAGCATAGCCCCAATTATTTTATTTATTAGACGAAGGACTATCCGGTGAAATTAACTATTTCGACAGCTATTAGCTATTTGAATAGTTTTTTTATGAAATGCTAAAAATTAAATATTATATGGTTAACTTTTTATAAAATACCACTTTAATATCTAAAAGTAAATTTAAATATTATGCTATTCAATATTATAAAAAATAATATTTAATATTTTGATAAGTTAAAACGCTAAAAATTACTTAAAAAATTAGCTGCGAAATAATGCGAAAATCATAATAATTGACGTGATCTGCAATGTAAGTAGAACAACAAGCAAGCCATTATCTCATGCTTTGGGCCACTTATGAAATAAAGAAAAAACACGTATTTGCGTCTTTTTTGGGGTCCTCAAGACAACGAGTAAGATTAAGGATAAGATCCGGATAATGATAGAAAAGGACATTGACAAATTTTATGTAATAATTAATTAAAAATAATAATTAACAATACAAAGATTCGATCAATTAAAATAGGGATTAATTGCCCTT